CTCGTCGCGTGGGATTTCATCTCCAGTAGCGTTCTCCAGTAGCGCCGGATCTTTCCGCGATCGCGGAAATCACACGCGAGCGAGTCGCGTGCTAAGGGCCGCGAGAGATGAGTTATAAAAATAAGTACCATATACGCAGCGCGTACCGAAACCATTACACGTGTAACTGCAGATACAAATTAAGAAATTCTTTTAAAATATTTGGGATAAAATATTTTAAAAATGCATGAATGCATTAATAATCAAAAAATATCGAGATAAGAGTACAAATCATAATCCAAGTAATTAAAAACTTGGATTTTTTGCCTCGGTAGAATTGACTTAATTTTTCGTCGAATTGGCAGAAGAATTTTCTTTTACCGATTAAATTGCATATTGTATAGTCCTTTTATTCTAGCTGCGTATTTAATTTTTCACGAGAGTATCATCGATAAACGAAAAAGAAAAGCAATAGTCTCGCCAATTACGCACGTCGTGCACGATGTTGCACTGTGCAACTATGAGGTCTCGATTACCAGGTAAGAACTGGATCGTTCGATCAAGACAACCAGCTTGCGGCGATATTATCTCGTTAGCTTGAATTTACGATTAGAAACGCCGCCGTATGTTTTGTATCACCTTGCGGGTTTCTGCCTAGAATCGTCGATTTTGCGATCGCGGGAACGCGAGATCTCGCGGGGTCACAAAAGACATCTCAAATCCAGCACTTCCTTCTAGTGCCAACGATCTCAATCGCCGTAACGAAGCCAAAGAGCATTAAACGGACACGTTTCACAGGGGTTGATTCATTCTACTCGAAAGAACCGGATCGCGTAGTCGGAGAACCGGATCGCGTAACGTGTCATTAGCAAAACAGGAAGGTGTAGATGAATTCGAGGACACACGAAGGTCTGAGAATCAGAGAGAATTCCTAGCTGTTTCATCGACGACCGCGGTGAACCGAACCAAAATTTGAGGACTCGACCTCAAGAGGCAACAAATCGCAATGTCGACTTTCGCAAGATTATTTCGGGTAACATTTCGCGGTTTGCGAATGTACAAGCACTCTCGTCGAATCTCGTAAATTGTTGCGCGAGAAGAAAAATCCCGCCTCCGTGATGTAAAATTACCGTAAACATTTGATAGACCACTCATCGGTACCTATATAATCTTGGCCTAAGCAAAATTTGCATCGTAATATTCATCGTGATTATCTATGAGTCTGAAAAAACCTTGGAATTGTTGGTCGCAAAAGGTCGAGTCTAATTTCTGTAAATCTTGCGATGTTTAATATTACATTCAGTTTCCATTACAACTTATTGATTAATTAATTTTTTTTAACTCTATCAGTTCCAATCGCTTTCTCGAGGTAAGAGAGAATGATGCCATTTTAAAAGCATATTATTTTTCTATACAATATTAAATAAAACTTGAAAAAATATTCCTGCTAACTACGAGAAATATGAACGGGAGTGTTTTTACCAAAAACGTAGCTGAAATCAAGAGATATTAAGGCCGGGGTCAAAGGACGCTTCATAATTTTCGAAAGCCACCGCGACAGTAACGTATTCTGGGAACCGCGCGCGATACTCCTAGGAAGTAAAGCACTAGAAAAGCCGCGCCGTCGACCATCGTGAGAAGTACTAGACGTCGTTGGCCTCGCCGCGCGCATCTAAATTCATTCCTCTCTGTCCGTCCACATATACAATACATATGTATGCATACGTTGACATTGCCGCGGCACGTGCTATAAGCACAGGTGCCGACGTGCGTGCATGCGCGTGCGCTCGTAAAGGCAAGAAGCCCGCGAGATGTGGAAAAAGAGCAGACTGACAATGATAATCAAAGGAGTGACCCGAGAACGAGTAGTCGGTAGAGCGCCACTTTGCCGGACCTGTCTTTCGGGTTTCGTCTCGTGCCACATACAGATAGGTCGCTCGTATACGACGTACACACACACGCGAATCATCCGCGTCATCCGCATAGTAGGTAGATAAGTAGAAGGGGCCAAGATACCCGATTTCCGGTTAGAGAAATGCCCGATTCCGGTTACGAAGCGGGTCTACCGCGAACCTGGTACCGCGTTCTGGCGCAGGTTGCTCGACAGGGCCTGCGCGCGCGTATATACGCGCGTATACACGCACGCGCGCAAAATAGCCGTGCGTGTCGCGACCCAGTGATGACCCCTTCGCGACCTGCAGGTTCATGTGTCGGGCCGAGATGAGAGTGCCTTGTCGTCGATAATGCTGCACCGTAAGCACGTAATTGCCGCTTACGCTGCGCAATGCGCGCGCGTTGCGTAGTTACTGCGGCACGCATTGCGCACGCGGAATCCTCTCTCTGTGATAAAAAAAAGCTCGCGGCGCGGAATGCCGTGTATAACGCGGCGTAATTTACTCGTTTGCGACGCGAATACGTGCTCGCGCAGAGCACGAGAATTCGTACGTGGCGCATATGGACCGTCGAGAAAACCCAGGGGGATACCGGTGTAATCGGCGAGATTTTCCACGGGCGTGGAAAAAAAAAGAATGCGGTCCTCCCCCGTTTGTCGTCGAGAGAATGGCGTTTTCCGCAAAGAGCACGAGTGAGGCGATAAAAACGGTCCATCAACCATGTCGGTGTCGTCGACATCACGGACAGCGACATCTTGTACATCGTTTGTTTTATTCGAAATTCTACACATATCTTACGGTTTATTTGCGCCGAATTAATCGCGAAGTGGTGACTGACTTTTCTCGAAACAGAAACAGGATGTTATTATAGAAACGATGCGTCGCGAACGCATGATATATTGGAACCGAGTTTGTAGAATCTATGATTGCAGAAATTATGTACAAGTTAATATATTTTATTCGCTAAAAATTATATTTATGATCATAATATCTCTAATTATTTTTTAAAGTTCATGTTATTTGTGATATGTTTTATTTATCGCTCTTCTGTCATTTAGCATATTTTTATATACATATAAATATTTGCATTGTGCAGTAAATGTTTATTGACATTCTCTTGCACTTTTATGCGCGAGACAATGCAAATACTGGGATAATAATTAGTTACATACGCGTAGGTAACTCTACGAAATAGCTGGTCCAAAGCGATCATTGACCCTTCTTTCGTTTTACGTTAAACTTCTTCCCTTTCTTCTTGTGTGCTCTTCCTCTTCTCTTTTCCTCGTACGACCACTAACATTCGGCACTTAAGTCGCCTCGATGACTATAGGAAGCTGCGAAAAAAATACATCGCACGTTGTTCAACAACACTCCGCTAATGCTGAAATTCATTCCGGGCTTCATATATTATTTTACTCGAATCAAAACGAAATAAAAATATATAAATAGATATAAAAATAATCCTTTGAAATTTTTTTGAGAAACAGGAAATACTTGAAAAGAAATTCGACGATAATTTTTTAATTAACGGAAACTTGTCGCAAAAATTTGAGCGAGTCTTGGATGAAGATGTGTGTTGTTGACAGTCGCACAAAACCACTAGGACGTTCCCGAGAGCTTAAAACGCCAATCAGACTCGGTTCGCAATCTGATACCTCACACCTCCCGTTCCCAAATTTCCAAGGGTGCATCATCGAGTTCCCAAGGTACGCGCACGCGAATCTTGTTTCGCATCCTCGGATTAGCATCGCATCATCGAAAAACGCGTCGCGGAAGGAGAACGCGCGGATCCATTTCACGTAAGCCGAATTCATGAGGCCACGTCGCCACGGCCTCGGGTTATGACAGCACGTTCTCCTTGCTTGTGTCGGATGAACGCGGAGTTTACCCGCCGTCTTTTCCCCGTCCCGGGGCCTATCCGCACCTCTTCAGGGTGCACAAGTGTGCCGAGGGCGACGCGATAGTCTCTCATCCTCTCGGCGTCACCCTTTTCGTATTGCGAGGCAGACGAGAAAGACAGGAGCGGGAGAAGCAAGGCGAGACAGAAGGGAAGAGAGAGAGAGAGTAGTAGACCAGAGATCAGGTATCAAGTGTAAAAAAAGGTCATTGTGCGGAAGCATCTGACCGTAGGGTAGGTACCGCGACACGACGTTGCGAAAGGATAGAGCGAAACAGAAGGAGGGATATATACTTTTTTAGGGTTAAAAAGAAAGAGAGAGAGAGAGAATTTGGCAAAGGTTGCCAGGACACGCCGAGGGGCGATCCTTTTCGGAAAAGACGAAGAGAGGAGAAGAAAAAGAAAGATAGAACAGGGAAGGACGATGCATGCACCGAGAGCGTTGGCAGTTTATAAGGGTCCCCGGTATTGTGGATACGTATTATCATGCTAAATATAACATGTTAACTACTTCGCATAATGCCGCGATCCTCTCGATTCTTCTACCGTATACGGTCGATCGGCGAATCGCGTTACTTCGCGCGCGTCGAAAATTTTATTGCCGAATTCGAGGCAGATGCAGCGCGCGACGCATAGAAAGTGTAACGCCGGTTTTCTCCATCGAATTTTATTTCGATGACAAGGCGCAGGGAGAGAAAAAAGCGCGACCTATCGTCTTTCTTTGAGGTCGGCAACTCAATTATCATTTCAATGAATACGCTGAATCTAAATATTAGATGTCTTTAAGTAGAAAAATACGAGACATATGGAATGTTAATGAAACTAAAACATGTGTCTCCACAATTTTAATCGATTTTTAAAAATTTGATTATTCAACCGTATTGTATAATAAATAAATGACATTATACATTTCTGAATTCTTGATTCATGAGATTAAAAATAAATAAAACTAATTTCGTCTAATATTTGAAATAGGGAACCATTATAAGAATTTTGAAGGAGATTCAGTTGTATTAGACTTCCGCAGCGCTCTCGACGATCTCTTTCATGGCAGATGATGGATCCCGTAAAAGGCGTTCGGTGGCAGAGTGGCGCGAGAATGGGCGAGCTGTATCGATCTCGATATACATAACGCGAATTCGTCACGCATTCTTATGGCGCGGATCAATGCTGATTCTGGTGCCGGGTAAAGGAGCTATAACTGAAGGTCAATTCTCCACGGACTGTTGAAGGGGTGTGATGGGCCAGAAGCTGCTGGTGCAGGAGGCGCCTGGCTCCGGTTCCGCCTCGACGAATCGCATGGAAGGCGGCGAAGGCGCCGGTGGAGGGGAACTACACCACTTCCTCCATCAGTACAACCAGCAGTCCCACAGTCCCAGCCAGAGTCTGCAGGGTGGCCTTCCGCTTCCGCTCAGCCCGCAGTCTCTGCGACACGACGGTGCCTCGAGCGCCGGCATCGCCGGGGTCAAAAGGGAACCAGAGGACCTCAGCTCGTCGCGCACAGGCCAACAGTCGAGCAAACGTCACAAACAGGCGGAAAGTCCCACACCACCGGGAATGTACCACCATCATCAGCATCAGCTACAGGTAAGGACTCGAGCATGAACGCAATCTCACGCGTCTCTCTAGAGAATCATTTCGATTTGTCTCTGATTTCTCGCAACGTTGATATTTTTTGCAAGATTTTAATTTTAGACTATAAAACTTAATGAGATATCTCTCGTGCTACGAACTCTTATCAACCGCAATCATTACACGCAACGAAAAAACTTGTAACCAATTTCCAACTTGATCTCAACCATCATTTCGTATCCTTTGGCAAAATTGCTTAAAGATTTGCAACCTCCATGCGAACGTTATAATATATTATCATCGTCCAAACATTGTGTCACGTATATATCCCAATGCAACAAGTACACCGCGAAATAACACTCGAGAAAATCACGCAGATCGTTCAGATTTGCACTTGCGTGTTGCATTCGCGCGTGGCAAGAGCCTCGAAGATTACCAAGTGTTTTGCGTGAATCGTTTTCGCGTTTTTGCCGTGAAAAGAGGACGTGTAAATGGGACGAGGAAAACGCGCAAAATTATGATTCGCTTGAGATAGATCGATAACAATGCAGCCGAGGAAAGTCAACCGCAATGACGCCGTGTATGCGTGCATGTGCAGGTGCAGCAGTACGGCAGCCCTTACGACCCCAACACATATTGCAGTCCTCGACTGCAGTCGACCGCGTACACGTCCACGTCGGCGGCGACCGGAACTGGGAATGGGACGGCGAATCCCGGAGGCGGCGGCCTCCATCAGGAAGCGACGACGGTCTACGTCACCGGGGACGCTCTGCCGCCACTCGCCTCGTCGAGCTCCGCATCCCCGCTGACAACCACGACCGCTTCGTACACGAGGTACGAGGTTGTGCCGAGCTCGTACACTACGACACACGCGATACGCTCGTCGTCGAGTAGCAGCAAAGTCCTGACCGTTGACCTTCCCAGCCCCGATTCCGGCATAGGTGCCGACGCGGTCACGCCGAGGCAGGATCATCATCCGCCCACGGCACTTCATCAGGTGAGTCCCTGCGATTCATTTCATTCCTTCGATATTTCCTTCGATATCATATGAGTCAATCGCCTTGTATACGTCTTCGATGCTTTCGAATACAGGTACTCGACGATCCTCCTGATACCGTCTTTTTCATATCGTAAAATATAATTATCAAAAATGCGTCACGTCATAAATTCAAGGATAACATAAATCCGCGGTGAAAATAAAAACAGTGAGAAATAGGATATTAGTAATTTGTCGATATTTCGATAACATTAAACATAAAATTCGAATTATATAAAAATGGAAAGTGGAGAAGGGAAAATATGGCCGATAATAATTCTCACACGTTATAACACATGGCTCTACCACGTAATATTAAAAAAAGGCAACGTAGCAGGCGTAACATAGTATCGCGGAGTAGCCGACAGGGATCTTTAAACGATTCACGTCTATATAAATCGCAATCAGCAGACGGACGTTAGGTAGCGAGACAGGATCGGAGCAGAATCGCGCCAGAGCCGTCAACCGGGGCTTCAAGTTAACACGGGTTGTACGGAGACTTATGGGCGATGTGTACGGAGAAATGTGCGCTACGCAGAGATGTTCGCCACTGAATTACGCGGAGAACTCGCGCCCGCAGTGTCATTAATCGTCCGAGAAAAATGCGCGGGAGCGCGTGGCCGGAGAAACGATCACCATATCCTAACATGCACGACCGGGATAACCGTAACTCAATCAAACCGTAGAGCTCGGCACAACGATACGACGGGTATCGTCCGCGCTATCGTTTTCAATTCAATCGCTAGCGATACAAATGGCTATGCCCGCGGCGCAATTAATCTCGCGACGAGATATCGTAAATATCGTACATTAACGGGGCTGGTTCGCCGCTCAAAGGACATTCTTTTGCTCGTTAATATATATATACAGCATCATAAGCGTCATTCTATCGCGAGAGTTTATATTTTCGCGCATGATATTCCGCGCCCCATCGTTATCGTTTCCAATGCGATTTGTCAAGCAAGTGCCTTCGCCCATGACGAAAACCTCACCGCGAGAGAGCTCGAGCGATTAATTCTCCACGTCTCGGGCGTGCACGATATTATATTCGTTAAAGCGCTCTAATATCGAATGCATCGAATTGCATGTATATGCAACGGCGATTTGTCGCACGAGTTTTCCCGTCTCGAACGCGCAATTGCGTACAGTTAGACCGGCGTGATAAATTTGGTTCGCTAATACTATACATCGCGATCCCTATAATGCTCTCTAAGGGAACGATTATGGTAACTTGTATTACGCGCGGTAGACCACAAAATTCAGAAAGCGAACCCGTTCCTCCGGTCTCGCGTTTGTTAAATATAATAGTTATAAAGACTTCCCGCAATAGACGCGCCTTCCTACGAGATGATCATCTTATCTAGCCTGATTTAAAGATCGATAAATAGAGAGTCGCAATAATCATAAAGTTCATTACGATAAAATGCATATATTTGAACTGCGTAATTGGACGGCTTTTCTGAAAAAACAACCGCAGTCAACTTCAAAGTATATCGCAATTCTCACATTTATACATACTATATACATTCTGAAATACTTTAGAAGTCTAATTTAGTAAAAGACGTCTGATCTCTTTTTTTCATGAGATACTTGTCCGATTAAGTGTGACAATAGTCAGCCTGTTATTGCATTAATTTTTTTCGACGACTTCTCATTGTCTTGACACGAACAATTCATCATCCTTACGTAGCCATTAGATATCTCATTTGCTTCCGGAAACATTAATCGTGCAATAGTCGCGCACACACGAGAGAGTAAGTCATTAGCATTGCAATCGATATTACGAATTAGAAAGCACTCGTTCGTTCTGCTTCGCTTGTGCACAGGAGACGCTGAAAATAAAAGAAAAAAAACTCGAAACCGCGGGACGTCGACGATGGCAGCAGATTAGGTATTGAATGCGAGTGCTACTGTGAAAACCGATCCCACTCGCATGATTGGTACATTTATAGGCGCAATTAAAATGTTGATATTCAACATAGGTACGAGCACATTATCCAAAAGGATTTTTCTTCATCAACGCGCGCTCGTTTTATCTCTCCACTAATGCGCTCCATTTCCGCAATATTTTTAGGTGCCGCTTGAAATCGCTCCGATATATAACGTAATACTCCAATTATGACCGCACAACGTCCGCCTAATAAATTGGGCTCGTTTGCACGAATGCGCGAACTATAAAGAGATTTCGTTAAACTAATAAATCTGCGCATGTAAATTTCAGAATGGTCAGTATCAGAGATATCTCCGATATCGCATGCAATGTGTATCATATTCCAACCGGATTTCTAACTGACACTTGTCACTCTTTCAGAAGTTTCAAGCATGTTTAAATAGTAATATTTATCTGCTCTCGTGTTCTTATTCACGACACAGTTTTTGTATTTGCATCAACGATATGTACATCGGGGCTCAGGTTTCTCGCGAAGCCGATTCGATTACTGCCGTTAGAGTGACGTCTCAATTAGAATAGTCCATGTATCTGAACGATAAAACGCGATAAATAAATAAATCACCGGTAGATTAAGTGCGTTACGTGCACAACTTATTTATGACACGATAAAATTGCAAAAATGATATCAAAATCTTGCTTCTCTGACGATATACATACATATGTATATTATAATAAAAATATAATGTAATATCCATAAAAAAATTAATTAAAATTTATTACGTAATTAAAATTCTAAAGATTTGAAAAAAGAGTTTATATCGAAATTTATACAGTGGAATATTAAATTATGATGCAATATCTAATCATTTAAAAATCGCTTTCAAAAATTCTTCTTGAAAAGAGAGACACATGATTATTATAGAGTTATGTGATATATTTAAAAGAGATGCAATACATGTTTCATACTTATTGCATCTCGCACATTTAAACAGACTGAAGCATTTGAGAAGTCTCAAAATGACAAATAGCTTCTTGCCGACGTATGGCAAATCCAGTGGTTAGTAGAGAGCTCTTAGCGAGAAAGAAGTTGCGCCGTGCTTTTTTTTCGGGATGACAGAGATTTGAAGTAACAAGCTGCGGTAACCGCATTGCATTGAAAAATAACTGCAGGCGACGCGTAATCGCATGAAGACATATGAGGGAATAGGTCGTTTGGCAAGCTGCTTATTAACTGCCACGGTTGGAAGCGCGTGCGGGTCGTGCGGTTGATTTTACGAGACCACAAAGCTTCTATTCTTTCTTCTTTCTCGCTGCCTTCGGCAGCAACATATGCAGATCCGCAGCGAAATGCATGAACGGAGATGCTCGAAAGCACGTCCCCATTAGTAGGTAAGTGGAAAACTGCTTTTTTCCCGCCGCAACCCTCTTTTACATTAAGCTATTAAGATTTGTTTACAATCTGTTGCGTGTATAATCGACGAAAAGCAGAAAGAGATCGCGCGAAAGCGGATGCATCGAAATGGTCACGTAAAGTCGCGTGTTTGCGCGCGATTAATCATTTATCCGCTCCAGTGCTTCCCTTAATCACGCAGTTTGAAATTTATCGACGGATACTTGAGAAATGAAAAAATCTAATGAAATGCATTGATATGCAAAATGAGACGCGAACGCGTACAGATATTGAATCGCGATACCGCTGATATACAAAACGACAAAATAATTACATCGTTACTAGCTTTTTAAATACTAATTACACCATAATCAGCAAACATTTAAATTAGTGAGATTAAATATACGCTTGTATATGAGAACTGATAACGGAAAAAGGCACAACTACCATTATCTTCACATGGCGGTATATACATCTTTTATTAGTAATTTAAAAACCAATATTCTTATACAACACATTATCATTATATTTTATATTTTTCTCATAAAAATATTGCTGGAAAATTATCGGTTAGTTATTTTATGTAATTATAAAATATAATTATACAATATTTTTTTATATCGCTATACTTATCATTTTTAAAAAAATTTATAATTGTCGACAGTTAATAATTTATATAAATGCCTAACTTATTTTGAATACTCTGTTTATTATAAAATATAATTCTATAACTGATGCAATAACTATTAATTTATACTTTCAACATTTAGACAAAAAAGATTGGAATTTACGGTGTTTGTTATTTTTATATATATGATCTTCATGTACGATCTTTTTTATCATAAACTAAATTTATTTTCTAGTCCTCGTTTGATTATACGGAATTATGTCCCGGCGGAACGACAACTGGAGTGGTCCTCGAAAGCGGCGCCGTGATACATCACCAACCCCTACAACTCCAACTGCAGCAGAGCCATGCACAGGCACAGGTGCAACGCAGCAGTCTCGTGTCCGCAGGTGCGACAAATGCGAATCCAAACCCAAATCCACCTAGATCGCGACCTTGGCACGATTTTGGTAGACAAAACGATGCCGACAAGATCCAGATACCGAAAATGTAAGTAAGCTTTAAAAATAATTGTCAAAAAATTGACAGAGTTCTTGAATCATGTCTCTTTCTCTTTAAAGTATTACTTGAAGATAAAATGTTTAAAGTGTTATATTTTATGCAAAAAATCGATTTTAAAGCATTTATTCAGTCAATATTTTAACAGTTGATTATACTAATTGAAATTAAAAAAATTAAGATAATGTCAAAAAAGATAAATTCACATTTTTACAGAATTTACATGATTAAAACGAATTAATAAGTGAAAATAATAAATTATAATAAATATGCAAATGCGAATGTTCAAGATGCTTCGTCAGATAGATAAACGAATAAAAATAGATAGATATCGAGATAGATAAATATGTCTCATTACATCGAAGGAATGCAAGAAAAGTAATAAAAGCTATTCAGAGCAGACAGTTGTGAATTTTCTCAACAATGCAAAGATTTTTAATTGTGCATAAACGAAATCACTTGCATAATATCTGAAATTCATATTTTATCTTTATGAATACAATTGTTTTGTATAAAAATATATAATTATAATTAATAATTTAATTATTAATTTATCTTCCTCAACATTTAATATACTTAATTATTGTATTTAAGTTAATATTATAAATTAAGATATTTTTTTATTCTGACAATTAATAGCATTGAGTTTCCGATACAGTGTATTCCTATTAAATGGGAAACTAATATCTCTATTAGTCTTTAAAGAAGAACTTTCCGCCTCTTGGCCTTTTGCGTATAATGTTCATTTCCTTCGTGGTGCATCACATCCGCCTGCCGATGTGTGATTCAGTTTTCTCTCTCTTTCTCTCTTTATTATATTAATCCTTCCTAACGATCTTCCTACTTCCCGTTTCGCTCAATCCGTCTTTCGTAATTTGTTACTTCCATTGTTAGACTGGCCGTATGATCAGCGGCGCTGAAAATCTTTCTCTCGCTCAGCTCACCGAAACAACCAACGCGAGATGAACAATGATGTTAAAGTTATTAAGTCGGCTCTCTCCGACCGATTCTCGAAGAACGGACAAGCGCCTCGGGGTCGCGCTGGGTCTGGGTTGAAAAATCACGCATCCGCCGACTACTCGCAGCGTGAAATCGAAATGTCAAGAAGGGTATATCTCCTCTTTTTGACCGATGAAAGAGAGGGGAAAAAGAGGGCCGTTCTTTTTCGCGAACCGAAAGGAGAGAAAGACAAAGTAGTCAAAGGAGACTTGGTAGTCGCATGTGATTCACACACAGAGAATCGTAACAAGGTATATAGACAACGGTAGCTCAAGCAGAAGCGCACACGAGGGCGTTCACCCTTACTAAGGTCAGCTATCGCCTCGCTGCATTTGGTTCTCCAGCAGGGCTGATGAAAAGAAAAATAAATGAAAAATGTATAGAGATAAGAAGATAGATGATTACATATAAAAGACGTCGCAAATACGGAAGCGTCAAATAGAGATAATTGGATGCCTTTCCTGAAGACGTGATAATACCATCGGCAAAGGTTCGCCGATAATTCTGATGGAGATCAGTAGACCAGGTTTGGCGATTAGCTATTTTCCTTGATCGTAATGGCTAATCGTTTCGCTCCCGTTTACCTTCGCGTATCTTCCTTTACTGCGCGCGCGTTGTTGTTTTAGTCTTGTCTCACATCGTGGTCTTTCCCCTGGTCTGTCTCGGGTTATGGACGTTCATTTTTCATAAGGTGTATCGGCCTGTTTGCTTCGCAATCGCAGCCGCGAGGCGGAGATAAGCTCGATTAGAAGCGCGATATTCCAAGGCAAGGTTGATGCGACTCCCGATATGTCTGTCGACATCTTCCTTTTTCCACTTCGCGTATTTACGTCAGGTTAGCAACTTTCTTGGGCTACGGATAGTTCGAACCTTTCATTATCGTTCGATTCTTATTAGTCGTTGAAATATTTATACGCGTTCGTTTTTTTTTTTTTTTTACAATGGCGAACATAATTAATACATCGCTTCTCGTGGTTTTATTTGTAAACCAGTTGTTTTCCAAACAGAGAATATTTGTCTTAACCGACAAAGTGTGAGAATACACATCGGTAGAGAATTAATTGACAATTGCGCGATAATTATTGGCATTGTATATAGCGCATATTGATCAGTTAATTAAACATTCGTTTGCGAGCTCATAACTGTCGTAATTGAGTAAACACGATTCAATCTTGACTATAAGTGTGAAACGACCAACTGCATAATGATCGAGGGAAGGTGGCCACTTAAATATGCAAGTTTTCATACACACACACTCATGCTGGAGCCATGTATATCTATGCATTTTTCATTTGGGGAATCTTATTTGTCTGTCCTTTAGTTTCTCACCTTATGGATTTAAATACCATCTGGAATCACCGATCAGCACGTCGCAGCGCCGCGAGGATGACAGAATAACGTACATCAACAAGGGCCAATTTTATGGTATCACATTAGACTATGTGCCCGACCCTGACAAACCACTTCTCAAAGCAGGACAGACGGTCAAGGTAAGAACAAAAAGCTTAATTACACTGTTTACATATCGATATTTATATATATATATATATAGATATTGATGTAGATAGACATGCAATTTGAAAGATCAACATTTATTTCTCCGAGAGATGGAGAGATCGGAACTCAATAATATTCAATAAAAATAATTGCTTGAATTTTAATTTTATTTAAATTTATAATTAATCATCTTTTTAAATATAATGTCAGTAGTATTTGGAAGAAAAAAATATAATTAATTATTTGTGTCTGTTCTTCTTCCTTTAAATGACTCTCTTTAAGACTGATGATAGCATTAATTGCGACAACATTATCTAGCATGAAATTATTCAAGTGTTCCATAGCATCGCGTAGTATTTCGTTCGCGTGAATCGAAACGGCAAAATTCGCGAAGATGATCGGTCCATCGAAACCAGAAGAACCCCAGACATGGTCGTTTGTTCTTGCGGCTCTAATTGGCAGCCACATCGCGGCGGGCACCGTTAGCAATTTCCATTCTGATAAAGGTGGTGGATTCTTTTTCCGTTGGCGCAACGAGTTACGACTTTCTCGTTAATTGCTAATCGAACGTCGGGAACGAGGCGTATGGCAGATTCGAACGGTATATATCCGCGTCTTTCGCGTGAGCCTTAAGGGAGATCAGCGAGTAGGTAGGCAGGCAGATAGGTATAAGTGTAACCGCGTAACGCGAACCTCTTATTCACGGGTGTTCCTCTCTCTCTCTCTTCCCTGCCTTATTTTGCGCGCCCATATTTCCTCCGGCATACGTCAGTGTATGCAGTTCTTCGCCCATTCACCCGAATCACGAAAAATCCTTCCTCCGTCTCGACTCTCGTTCGCCGCAAGCGGCGAAACGCTCACGCCCGCGTATGTCCGCTCGAGCGTGCGTCTGTCGCGGTTCGTGTGCGTCTCCTTGTATCACGGATATCGATTCAGGTGAACGAAAACGCGAAAGTTAACTTTGCGTATGTCTAAGAATTTTTTACACGTCAGATTAATTATGGAATTAATTATTTCACGTCGCATATTACTATGCGAGGAATTTTAACTTAGGTTTGTTTAAGAAACGTCAAAAGTCGAATTGATAATTATGAAAATTACTGTCTTATTGAAAAATACAAGAAAGATTATAAAAAAGTACTCGATAATGCACGGTTAATATTGATGTTTATATTAATATATATTCAGAATTTATTACACATTAAATTAATTATGAAATTAATTATATCTTGTCACACCATTGCATTGTCGAGGACCTTTAATTTTTATTTTTTTATGAAATGTCAAAAGTCGAATATGCTATATTATCAAAAAATATAAAGGAGATTAGAAATAAAAAAAAGACTCGAATACACGTTTGATATTTATAATAATGTAATTAATATTTCTTTGAAAGTTTTTATCGTCACAAATAAACACCCGAATATTAATAATAGTTAATAATAGTTAATAATTGTCAATTTATTTTGTCATATAGTTAATAATTATTTATCTGTGTTGTACAGAGCGTGGTAATGTTGATGTTTCGAGAAGAGAAGAGTCCGGAGGACGAGATCAAAGCTTGGCAGTTTTGGCATGGCAGACAGCACTCTGTTAAGCAACGGATTCTTGATGCTGGTAAAATAATATAAAAAGATATAAAAGGCAAATATCTGATCGATAATAGTTTTCTTCATGAACACGATGATAATAATTATCGATATTTATGATCGATTAAATTTTTAAATCTCTTATGTTTTTGCGCAAGCTTTCTAATCCGTAACGGATGAACGGTAAGATATTTCATCGTGAACGTTTATATGTGCCCCGTTATTTTAATATCTAAGAGCGTCTCGCGTTAATATTAGTTACCTCATAATCCCCGGCGTGATCTGCGAGTTTCAGAATCATGTCTTGTTACAGACACAAAGAACAGCGTCGGTCTGGTGGGCTGCATAGAGGAAGTCGCGCACAATGCGATTGCCGTTTACTGGAACCCACTCGAATCGTCAGCGAAGGTAGGGAAACGTCGATTCACGTTACGTTTCTTTAAACAATCTGCGCACATATATGCGCCCCGATTCTCTCCCCTGACATATCTCGATTATCGCCCCAGAATCTCGCGCTCCGCGCGCAAATTGTATCGCGTTCGATCGCGCGGCCTTTTTTTAAGCGGAAACATTAATAAAGCAATTCCCGAGTAAGCAGTCACACCGTTGTTACCTGTCCGATTTCTGCGCAGATAAACGTGGCGGTGCAATGTCTCAGTACCGATTTCTCGAGTCAGAAAGGCGTGAAGGGTTTGCCGCTGCATATCCAGGTCGACACGTACGAGGAATCGCCGCCTCACACACATACGTATACGCCGCCATCCCATCGGGGCTACTGTCAAATTAAGGTCTTTTGCGATAAGGTAACCACTCTCGTGCATTTTCGTACGTTTATCTCTTTTTTTCTTCTCTCTCTCTCTCTCTCTCTCTTCCTTCTCTTTTTTTCTCGCATTTGTGATGTAAATAACACGCGATCGCTTCCTGGTCGCAACAACGATCGTCGAAATTAAGTTGAGAGACGTTGCTTACCACAGGGGGCAGAGAGAAAGACCCGGGACGAGGAGAGACGTGCGGCCAAGAGGAAGATGACGGCGACCGGCAGAAAAAAGCTCGACGAGCTTTATCACTCTGTCACGGAGCGCAGCGAGTTTTACTCCATGGTCGATTTGCACAAACCACCGGTGCTGTTCTCGCCACCGGCCGAGCACGCCATCGACAAGGTGACAATTCACTTTTTTCATACGTAATTCAAGCAAATAAGAGTGTCGTCTACAAGAACTCGTCGAGTTCTCATACAGACATAAACTTGATTAAAGATCGTTTCATTAAACGACACTGAATTATATAATTGAATTATATATTGATTGAATTGCGTGACAAGAGATTTCATTATAAGAATACAAAGAAAAATATGAATAAACATTAAACTCTTTTCCTGATTGTAATTTATTAACTTGGATGAAATTGAAGTGTTATCGAAACGCATGTAAAATTAACGAATTTTATTTGTCTTTGAATAAATACGAGTATGCTATATTATCTTAGCATGCGTTAACTAAAATCGATGTAGAAGCTGACCCAAAAAAATCATGTGGCAACCACAATCCTCTGCTCTCACCTCCGCCAGAACCTTGCACTAACCGCAACTCTTGCATCGCAAAGTAACGACGTGGACTTTCTCGGAGACAACCTTTCGAATTTTGCGTTTCAATTCAACGAATCTCTTAGTCTTTTCATTTATCTCACCATGATATGTTACTTATTAATGCAATTTATCAGAATAAATATTATTATACGCTTTCCTATCGCGTAACAATATATGTATCGTGTTATGTATTACAGAGTAAATAAATGATGAAAACACATGACATTATAATTTTACTATCAATGCATTGTTTTTGAAGAGCTTTCAAATTTATCTCTTGCTCCACCTAGTTTCTAGATCTGTTCGCCGTTAATTTGTATCTTTCAAACATCACCTGTTTAAGAAAAAATCCAACGTTGCATTCCAAGATCGCTCCTCATTTCCCAACGCAAAATTCGAAAAGGTTCTCGTCGCCTCGCGAGTAGTGAGAAAAAAGCGAGAGACGCGCAGAAAGAAACAATAAACCTTGTTCTTCTTCCACGACAGTTCTCGACGATGGAGTTGTCGGGCTTCTACGGGGGTGGCGGCGGCGGGGGTGGGGGTGACACCGACACCTCGTCCCTCAGTAATGGTGAAAGTGGAGGATTGAAAGCAGGGGGTAGCAGCCCCTATCCGGCGGCCTGCGGCCGACCGAGTCTGCCGGCCCTCAAGTTCCACAACCACTTTCCACCCGACAATCTCAGTAGCCTGCACGACAAGAAGGACTCGTTGCTGATGCAGGTGCAGGAGCTGCAGGGTTCGGTGCTGCAGGGTGTGCAACAGGCCGGCTTGACAGGCGCGGTGGTATCCAACAATCGGCTCCACTTGCAGCAACAGCCGCCGCATTTGCGTCCGGCCGAAGCCGAGGAGCGTGTGATGCTGTACGTGCGTCAAGAATCGCAGGAAGTCTACACGCCGTTACACGTTACGCCACCGACGGTCCAGGGATTGCTCAATGCTGTAAGAAATATGCTATAAAGATATTTTCCTCTTATACCGCCAACAATTACACGCACAATCGATATTCACGACACACGCAAACATTCTGCGACAGGACGATCTTACGGATCCTTCCAGCTACGAGATGACAGCTCGCGCGATTTACTTTGCTTTTGTACGTTTTTGAAGATACGAAGATTTGAGAGATATATTTATCAAGTTTTTCGAAAGTTATGCAGAAAGGCCAAATATATTCTCGCTGCGTTGTATATAGTGAATTATTAATGTCCGCGATGTGCAGAGGCAATTATTTGTTTTCTAATGAATCATGCGATATAAATTTAATGTTCACTTCTTACTTTATTAAAACGAAGAGTAAATATATATATTAAACGCGTGTAAACAGGAATAATAAATATGCTTTAACTAAAAATATGCGCGTTAACTAAACATTAATACTTGTCACCCGATAGTAAAGTAGATAAAGTAATATTCTTTAAACTCATTCGTATGCCTTGTAGAAATGGAAATGGGAAATGGAAATTTTTTTGTAGTTTTCCATAACACCACAGAGAGATATCGATAACTATACATAAATACGGTAGCTATAACATTTTATGCAAAACACCGGGCGATGTCTCAAATATGCGCAACTGTGGACGTTGATACGTGATTACGTTCACCGGTCAAGTGCTCTAGAAACAGAATAAACGGCAATAATAATGCAACGTGTTATCTCGTTATTCTGATCGTTTCCTGTAATGACCCGGTAAACTCTATCAAGCTTGAAAAAATACGGAAAATAATTAACTATTTCGATTTCACAATCGGTATCACTTTAATCTCGCTTATTCAATCGCACTCGTTTCGAATTCGCGGAAAATTATGCGCTGGGAGAGCAGTAATACAAATATACATATATATTTATTTATGAACACACATATAGTCTCATGTCAGAAATTACTCATGCATGTGAAAGCATACTGCGCCATTAATACCCGCGCGTTCTCACTGGTCCATTCGCTAATTAATATTATTGCGCATGCATCACTGTCCACTGTGTCCAAGATCCTCATTAATATAATATATCAAAAGTGCAAGAGTACGATCGATTATATTATCTTTTTTCTCTTCTTCTCTCTCTCTTCTCTCTCTCTCTCTCTCTCTCTCTCTCTCTCTCTCTCTCTCTCTCTCTCTCTCTCTCTCTCTCTCTCTCTCTCTCTCTCTCTCTTTGCGGATGTACAAGAATGTTGGCGACTCTTAAGGATTTGTCGAATGTGATGTAAGAGCGTGTTACATCTGAATCGGCGAAAGAAAAAAGTGGAAAAAAGTACCTTTCCTTCTCTCTTTTCTCTTTTCTGTTTTCGCGTTTTTTACGGAATAGATCGCGTATTTCTATCTCAATCGCGCTCCAATCGACCTCAATCGACTGTAATTTTTTATTCTTTTTCTACTGTATCATCACGTTTCGATCTGTCTTGTCTATCGATTTCGCTCTGTCTTTCTGTCTTTCTCGCTGTCGCGGAAATATTGCGCGTGTCCACCTACGCGTGTCTCGTAAGTACTTTCTCAAATAGGCGGGCGCGATATAAATGGTCCGCAAACCACTATCAAAATTCTAATGTTCTACTTTTTTCTATTTTGCAGATTGAGTCAAAGTACAAAATTGCATCCTCGAGTATTAATAACCTCTATCGCAAAAACACAAAGGGGTAAGTTTAGTAGAGTGTCATCTTTACTTGCATGCACGCCTACGCGATGCATGCCATAACGGTGACATTGCCTGACTCTCTCCGCCTCTGGTTTGGTAGTTTTCTCTCTCTCCCTTTCTCTCTTTTTTCTCTCTCCGTTTTGCCTATGATCGTGCCTCTTTCAAATGTCGGATATGCGTTCCTCTGTGTTGTACGTTTGAATGCATACACATAATTCTGTCTCGTAAAGTGTACGTACTCTCTGTTTGTCAGTCATCTTAACATGCACGCAAATGTCGCTGCACGCTGGATATATCTCGCTTCTATGCAGAATTAATCCACTAATTTATTCTTCACGCTTCTCGTCTTTTGCTTTCCGTTACAAACGCACTGATGCACGTTTGATTGCTTCGTCTAATATCGTCGTGCATCTCGTTCGATTGATTTCTTTTTTATTTTGTCCATACATTTTTTATACGTTGGTTGCACACGATGACCGTCATTTTCCTTGAAAAAAATTACTCTTCAATATGTTGTTCCTATTGTAAAAACAAATCCTCTCTACTTTCTTTCTCTCTCTCTCTCTCTCTCTCTCTCTCTCTTTCTTTTTTCTCAAACTATGCGCAGTGCGGTGCAAGAAAATTGTACGATTCATTTTTTTTATTTTAAAATCCACCGCGATAGTACATCATCTCCTTTTGCCGCTACAATACTATGATGATATTTTATGCAGTGACATTATTTTTCAAACATTTTTCCTCTTTTGTATGATATTAATTTTTCAATGTCGCGCAATTTAATTAGAAGGAAATAAATGTTTCTAAAATATTGAATATTATAAATAAATGAGTGTAATAATGTATCCGATCACAAGACAAAATTCTTGGAAGCTGTTGCGCATAAAAATTTCCTAACGATAATGCGACATGTCGTTAATCGCGCATAACAGAAATTATATGGCAGCTCGTTTGCCAAGCATCATAATGTTATAGCGGCCAAAGTTACCGCGTTGCATGCCAACTCGAATGATTATACGTTCGCCGAGAAATGATACTTATATAGCTTCCGTTCGCGCATCGCCCTCCGCTCCAGAGGAGACTTAACGAGAGCGTCACCCTACCCTGTTGCAGAATTACAGCGAAAATTGACGACGATATGATCCGATATTACGTCGACCAGGACCTGTTCCTGTTGGAGGTGAGCCACTCGCGAATCAATTCAGATCCTGGCAGCGAACATCCGAGCTCGCCGGGAGATCCAGATGATCCGGGCGATTCTCCTTCCACGGCCGCATACGACGTCACCCTCATCGAGCTATCCCATCCTCCGTTGCCACACTCACCCCTCGCCAACTCTACACACGCACACGCACACGTTCACGACAATAGCAACACATGAACTGAATTAGACGAGAGAGAAGTCTACTTTTAATCGTGTAAATATATTTCGCGTAAGTTGCCGAGAACTGATCCTTTCCCTCGAAAGGATCAGCAAGATCTCGTGTCTATCGATAACTGTTAAATAAACAGCGACATTTTTGTATCGCATTTAAAGATTCTTGTACAGTTGACGAATTTACCAAGAAGGATCATCGAGCATCGAGCAACAACGTGCTAATTAACTTTCAGCGAAGACTCGAGAAGAATCACGAAGGATCATTAAAATACCACGGGATCATCGAATTTTCGACATCGAAGACGAATTCAGCGTTTTGTTGTTTCAAAGTAGGTCGCATGTATAATCTTATTATAATATTATAGATAGAATCGAAATGTGTATTTTGTAATATGGCTTGACATAGATTTTTTGGATTTTTTTTTACAAATGTTTCGTTAATAGTTGTCATTTGTATAAGACTTTAAATGGGTCTTTCGGCGTAAATGTACGGGTTTTTCGACTCGAGACTGAAGCAAGTCGAATGTGCAAGAATGTACGCATGACCGTACCCTGACTGTGTGAAAAGCGACTCTATATTATTTGTTTTCTCATCTCGAACAATTTATATCAATTACTAGCTTAGGATATTCCGAAGCGTTGCTGCAAGCGCGAGCGCCATGTAAAGCAATCAAAATTGATTTAAGTATCGCCGGTATATGTTATATATACGTATGACGTATATTGTAGATTTATATATTAAATCGTCTCTATTAATTCGTACATTAGTTAAAGTAACGATTCTTAATTCGTACATTAATAGACTCTTAATTTGCCCGCACGTTTAAAAATAAAAATACGTCGCATCAATAATGCCATCGGCATTAATACCGCGAATTATCACTTTGAAGTCGATAACTCGTATACATCGTGATGCGCGTGCCGTCATTTTACGTTAAATGAATGACCCTCGATATGTGTGTGCGTTAATCAATGACAGAGGCGATCATTGCGTTCTCTGATTCATCTTCTGCATTTCTATTTGATTTTTATCCATAAAGATTTGAACGTTGATTTCGCGCGACAAAATAAAAAAAAATATTAACAATAAGAGAAAAAACCCTCATCAACAGCTCGTAAAAAACCAATCGATATTCTCTTCTTATCTGCCTCGTGTCTCGTTAACGAGACTTTTATAGTCTCTCATTTACGAGCATATTAACGCGCGTACATGAATACATGACGTAATTTCGTAACGTTGCTGTTAAGCAGGATCATTGGCGAGTAAATTCCGACTTAAAGCGCAAATCAACATCGTGTATTTCTGATTTAAAAAAATGAAAAAAAAAAGAATGAATTCACGAAACCAGAGATCGCCTCCTCTTATGCCGCACTCTTCGCCACGTTACGCTCGAGGTATCATCGAGAAGCCACGACTTTTTCTAAGTCTTAAGACTAATAAGAGTAATATAATCACACTGTATACCTGCGTATTCGTAGGATAATCTCCCTATAACACAGCAGCAGTTTGATTCAGACGTTAGATAATAAAATAACGAATTGATATATCTCAGAATTGAGCGATCAATGTTGCTACGTCTAAGAGATGAAAAAGATCCTTATATTACTAAACGAGAAATCGCTTTCCTGTGACTTTGAAATAAAAGGAAGAAAGTGCCATTATATATTCACATACAGAAATCATCAAGAATTATTCATTCGAGATCTGTGCTAGGATAACACTTAAAAGTAATAAAGGGAAAGATCTTCTTTATTGGATATATAGTACTCCTTATCGGGACCATATTTTCTTTATAATCTCACATACAGTGATTTTAATTTTTCACTCTTGTAATAAAATCATAATATCGTTGGCGCGCGTTAAACGCGCGATTGAAAACGATAGCATTACCAATAACTTGTGGTTATATAGTTTGTAAGCTAAAGTTTGAATAAAATGTGCCACCCCCTCGGTGAAAGCAAGCCATTTGCTAGCTTATATCATAATTAGGCGCGTATGCACACACATAACGCGGAAACATACTCATACATTTTCTTTTATATATATACACACACATTTGTTGTCAATTACATTAGAGATTTTCATTAGAGTAGAATTATCACGATCATGATACTTTTCTCTTGTTTCATGTTAATCATATACATACGTCGATTCATACACCGATATCAAAGCAAGGATCAAAATACGCTTGTAAAATGCTTGTAAAATGCTATTATTACTTATTGAATACTATATTTTGTTACATTTATTACAAATAGCATATAGATTGATTATAATTATTATGGATTCTATTCCAGTACGCGTAGAATATATATATTATAGTTATATTATTATTAATAATATTATTATATTTTTTTTATATACATGAAAATGCGTGTTGTATGGAGTGAGAATGTAAAAAAGAAAGAAGAGCGAGAAATGAGAGAAAGAGTGAAAGAAACGAAAGGAAGAGTGCGTATGAATGAGTCTCTCGGAATGTCTGTGTATGGAAACGTCAAAGAAAGAGAGAGAGAGAGAGAGAGAGAGCAAGAAAGAATTATATATAGCATTTATAAAATCAATCTACGTTATACACATCTACAAGACCAAGATTGTTGGTTAGCTTTAGTCCATGACATTTTTTTATGTAATCACAACCTTCCCTTTCCGTCAACATTTTCTTCCCATATCCTCTCAATCGCTACCATTGTACGTCGAAACGAGGCGGAACATATGATTCGTTAGTAGAGATAAACACAGCTGTGTCGTCGAGCCATTTTATTATAATAGTATCATCTCATTATTCTTACGATATTATTCTTACGATTATTAATATTATTATTTACATTATGAGAACAGAGAGAGAAAGAGAGCGAGAGAAAGAGAGAGAAAAGAGAGAGAAAAAATCGGATGGGTTGACGGATTCTTCGACCATTTCAGCATTGTACTTAAACAACAGTGTAAATGACGACGTGGAATGAGCCCGCGAGTTTTAGATTTTATACTGTTAGAAATAGAGAGATATGCATATAGATAAAAAAGCTATTGTCGGTCGATGAACCGGAGATTGTCGTTATAAATTCGGAAATGCGAGAGTTATACAAAAGGACAGAATGCGAGAATGCGTTTTTCTTCCGTTGCGTTGTCTTGCCATCGTGAGATTGTGCCAGAGGTGATATTATATTATTACGATGTTTATTACAACAATAAATATTATATTAGTACGTTTTATAAATCGCTCGTCTTTATTACTGACTTTATTATAGGTAAGTGTTGTACACCATCAAGTTGCTTGGCGGTCATAATTCTTCGTATATCATTAAATATCAACCTGGCAGAATTACGTATGTGAGTAAATGATATTAAAATATATAAAGAATAAGAGAATAGACACATATAAATATCATATGTGCCAATAATTACTTTTTAAAATATTTTTAAAAATTTCATTATATTATGTGTATTATATAAAAGAAAATTAAACATAAGATAATATTAGAAGAATATTATACTACGAAAATAGGAAATAAAGTTCTAATACTCCGAAATAAAAAGGAGGAAAGGAGTGATTATAAAATAAATATTTGTCTTTTCATCTCTATAAATGAAGGATTGACATTCTTTGTTTGTGCGCATTTCAAGAGATTGATATTCATATATGTATCTTTTATATCACGCATCAATCATCTTTCATCTCAGCGTTGTCTTGCGATTTGACGACATATGATCGTTTACTAAGAATTCTCATACAAGCATGATTCCGTGAACATACCTCGTTACATCTACAGAACTGCATGACACATAAGATTAAAAATTTGCGATTATATTAGCATAATATGTCGAAATTTATTCGAGTTTAAAAGCCTTAAACACTTCCTTTTTTACTTAATATGACTACTCACTTTCTTCCATAAAGGCTAATTAACATCGACTATATATTAAAATATGATTGGAAAAATTGAAACATGTACGACAATCCCGGAAAACGATACTCGTCATCGTTGTATCATTTTTCTCATCATTACTCTTACAAAAACAAAGTCGCGGACTTGCTTTGTTGCATTTCGCACTGCGTTAAGGACAGATCGCGAAGCAATGACCGAAGGAAACCTGTTGGCGAGGAATTTAAAAGAAAAAAAGAGAATTCCGTGCGTGGAAACCCATAAGAAGAAATAAAGAAGATTCCATGTCTTAGAGAAAGAACGAAAGGAGCGTATCATAAAATCAACGATCCTGCGAAGGATGTCCAACCGCTTTCAAAAAGATCCGCTTGCATTTCACGGCTGATGTACTTTAATGAGCTGTCTTCCAGCCGACACTTCGATGGAATCGCTTATCCGAAAAAGTCTGACATGACACATCCAGTGCGATTAGCGTCCAACAAGTGTGTGTTATATCGCAACAGATCAACTAACGGAACGCGATGATGAATGATGTATGATATTTATTCGATTTCGATGAGAAGAAGATTATTATATTTAATCCCCATCTATCATGATATATAATAATTACGGTAATCATCGATGAAAACAGAAACTGATTAATGAAATATCAATTAATAAATATATAGATTCGTTAAAAGTTAGATAATTTTTCTTAATAATTTATTTTATGAATTATATTTTAACAATAAAATATTAAATTTCGTTCGCCAGGAATGAAATACTAAGGTAGTAGATATTAAACTGACTACACTGGCTGTCTATTAGATTTGTTAAACTATATTTATTGACGTTTCGACCATACGGGCTGTGGTCCTTTTCAAAATTCCGATCTTAAGTTAAGTCTCACCGGAGCGTACTTTTAAATGTCAATAATGATATGCAGTAACTCATTAATGCTTCTATTGTAATTTTGAAAAGGACCACAGCCCGTATGGTCGAAACGTCAATAAATATAGTTTAACAAATCTAATAGACAGCCAGTGTAGTCAGTTTAATATCTACTACCTTAGAATTATATTTTCTCTAAAAATAAACTTAATAAAGAATTTAATTTTACAATTCAAAAAGAAAATTTTTGCAAAAAAATTATCTTTTATATATAATTTTATATTCCTATGAAAGTAGCTCTATTAAAGATAATTGAGAAATTAATTGTATATTAAAAATATTGACAAATATAATTATATATTAAAAATTCATAACTTCACAAAATAAAAAAGATCTTAATTTCTTTTCGTTTATCTATTTTTACGAAGAGTTTACTTTGCTTTTCAAGGTTTCGAAGTATTCGGTATAATAATATAAAATAACCGGAATATTTCTTTTTATTTAAAACAACTAAATATTTTATGTATATTATATATTTATATATTTGTTCTTGACATAATTTTTTTCAAAAAGGGGTAAATTTGTGTAAATAAACCTTTTTGTATTCAATAAATATTATAATGATAAGAAACAAAACACATAAGGATAAAGATAGGCTTTTCAGAAATTAATATAAGAGTCAATTGTCAAAACGTTCAAAATGGTTTCGTTTGAAACGCGAGCGCAAAGATAAATTCGTAAATAAATTTCTAAACTTTTCGATGAATGATGAGAAACAGATTAGACCTAAAGAAACGTGTTATTAAAATCATTTGAGATTCTTTAAGATTGAATGTCTTTTTTTCTGTCTATCTTGTTCTGTTTTTTTTCTTTTTATTTATTTGTTCGGATACTTGCTAATTCATTAAAATTAGGAAGTCTTTTATTTCTTTCTCTCCCTCTCTCACAGCAAGAATTTCTTCGCGTTTCTTTAAGATATGAGAGCGTGATCAATTTGCAAATAAAAGACTAGAGAGGAGAATTAATTGGCGCCTCAATTATGGAATGCAACTCACATTTCCTCGAATGAAAAAAGGGATAAGGATACGGAGAATATAAGTGGTTACGACGCGACTTAGTCAGGCGACTAGCATCGTCAGTTGGAAGTTAGCTAGTTGTGATGGCAATAGTGTGAGAATTCACAACCTTGTAAAAAGACATTGGTCCTGACATAAATTATAATTTTTAGACATAACTTCCTCTATTTTGCGCGAGAGAAATCTTATCGATCAGCTATGTGGAGATCGAATTTGTAAATACTTTAGAAATGACATTAAGCAAAAAATGTTTAACACGGTTTTTAAATAGTATTTATTCTCTCAGGGCCGCTTCTCTTGTAGAAAAATTTTTGAATTTACCACAAAAATTAAATTTTTTATTTCTCAAAAAATAATTTTCTTGAAAAGGTTTCATATTTCAAGATGTTATATTATTTCGCAGGAAAAAGATAAATAAAAAATCTACTTACGCGTAATATTTCTTCAAGTTCTAATACACGCACAAATGTCGATATATATTTAAATCTATGTTTTAATAGACTATGCTTATTATATTAAATATGTGTGAATAATGTCGATAAAAACCACGCATAAAAAGCAGAGAGATAAATCATATAAATATTAATAAACTTTATAAAAAAAATTCGTGAGACCAATAAAATTAGATTAGCCGTAGGCTAAATATATTTTAAGCTTGTACCCGATTTTTTGCACAACACCAGTACAACCTAAATGTCGATATATATTGCGCTTAACTTTTTTTTAATAACAGCACACCCAATTCCTACAATTTAATTATATACCAGCGTTAATAAAAAACAATTATAATTTTTATGTAATAAAATTAAATAATTCGTATATTCGCAGGCAATCATATGTGTAAATTTTAGCGTTACGAAAGCGAACGTGTTTTACTGTCTATTCCGTTATATCGTGCTATAAAAGAGAAGCCGTAACATATAGAAGGTAATAAAATTTCCATTCGTAATATTACTATCCATTATAAACACTTCCATATAAATATTATGTTAATATGCTTACACATTTACAGAAGAGTACTCTAGTTGGACCTTTTAAATCTATTTTGAAAATCTAAATAGATATAAAAAAATTTATTAATTGCTCTGAAATTTTAAACTACACGTAAAATTAACTTTTTTTAAAACTAATTAATTTAATTTTTCTTTATCTATGTCAGCATATAGTGCATGCGTGTATAAATCTTTTTTCTCTTTTAGATACTCTTCCTTTCGAATGACGTCGTTCGAATGGTAACAAACGACTTTGATACCACTCGGTTAATTACGAGCAGCCCCGACTCAACCGGTTTGCACGTTTCGAAGGAAAGATTCGGCAAGGTCTAGTAATCTTATTGTAATGTGCCAATACGAAATCTTGAACCAAATTTTATATGTGCGCGTTAAGTATCGTATACATTGCTGAATATTCTCGTAATAATGAGGTCAGTGACTCGAACAAGAACATTGAACTTGAGTCGCATGCTTCTTGTCAGTCTCTCAAAGAGAGATATATCCTGTTTGCGTTCTGCGAATTTTATATCCACAACAGGTGAAGAAATGTTACGAAATTTGATGGATCATATATCAAATTTGTGACAGATACAAACGTATCCATAGGCACCCACGACTACTGTCTATTGTCGAGCTTTATCAACATAGGCGTGTATTTTTGGCAGAGTCCGGTTTGGCGGGTCAGATTATTCGCTGTCCTTATCGATTACTTACCAAGCCCTCTTTTGCGAACAACAAAAAAGAAGCCTTATCTCGTTGAGATGTCGACAGTAAGTGGTTATTAACCGTCCGGTCAAAGAACGCACGGACTTAAAATCTCTCTTCCTCCCTCCACCCTTTAAGACGCGGTTCGTCGACCTAGGTATCGCAATCTTGACGTATACTTCAAGGTTCTTTGCTTTTGCCTCTCCCATGGAAGGTACTGTTTATGCCTACGCGCTAAATCGAAGATCTTGTCCTACTGGACTGTTTTCAGAAAGGAAGACTTATTCATCGATCTATAGACGTAAAAATATTTCTGTCCGATAAAAGACTTCGTGGTTTTTATTTGCTTGAAATTATAGGGGAGACATGTATAATAATTTTTTCATATGATTAATTTAAGAAGTATTTCTCTGCATTCAAATGCTTCGTATTATTTTATAGTGTATCTATTATTACTGATTTATTAACTCAACATGATTTAATGAATCCAACGCGAACACGACGTATAAAAGTTGAAGAACCGCAGTAACTTCGGAGTAAACAAGAAAGGATCAACGTGGGGAAAGACGATTCTATATTCACCGTCTCTCGGCGGAAGGAAGTGCATAAATACCTATCGTCAGTATAGATGAGAAGGCGGGGATCACACGGTAAGCAAGTTCACGGCCGTCCCTTACGTACAACCTTCTCTTGACATCTTCAAGGCCAGGTGCGAAGAATCGTACTCTCTATGCAAATGCCAATCGCACAGCATTCGTTGGACACAAATCGCACAATCAAAGACATATAATATGGTTTATATAATCGATACACCTGAAATAATATTCACGCACGTCAACGCGTATAAATAAGCAGAGACTCGATCGCGAATATTTATCAAGGAACTTTGCCTCGAGCAATTGCTCGAGATTAAAGTATATTTGCAGTATTTGATTTTCATAAAAAATAGCTTGTATAATAAAATACAATAAAATATCCACCCCATCCTCCACATATTTTAACGATAATTAAAAATAATAGCTATATTATTTTTTAATGTACAATCAAGCAAAACAGAGATTGCTGAACGTCTTAGTTTTGTTCATAAAATGTTATAGAATCTCTATTTCGTATGAAAGCATAAATAACCAAAAAGATTATTTCTCCGCATCGGGGAGACCACGGTTGATCCCTACTGCGCCCTTCTCGATCTTCTATCCTACGGCTATAGAGATGATAAAAGAGCAAGAGAATAAAGGAACGTGGAGAGCACCTTGTGCGTCGTATCGAAGAGGAGGCACAGAGTAGCGCCAGCACCAGAGGGGAGGGCAAGCCCGTTATAAGCTCGAGCAGCGGCTATTCAACAGCTTAGGAGTCGCTCAAGATCCAAGCCGGTATTCGCACGTGGGTCCCAAGTCCTGTGTTCCGCGCGTCGTTACTCTTCGCGAACGATTCTGGCAGCATGAATAATCGGGCACGCAGATTGTCGTCGTTCGCGATGCTGGTGCTGGTGCTCGTGGTACAGGTGATCGTGGCGGCGGCTGTAGAATCTGAATCCAGATCCATGAACGGGTCGAACGATGACGTTGACCCGGACGACGACTCAATTATCCTCGAAGGTATCAGATAGGTCTATGGTGTATTTCGCGTGTACTTCTCATCCAAGTATTAATAAGTTGAGATAAAACATATATGCTTTTCTGAAAATTTGCTTCATATGTTCGTGATATTTCCCGATAGAACTTTAAATGATTGAAAATGTTCTCAAAAACTCCATAGATTTGAGCTAACTTCTTCGAAAAATGATACAGACTAAGTTAGGATTAGTTTTATATATCAGCGCAAAAATTTTTTCTTTTTAATTGCCATTGATCTGAGAAGAGTTTCATTGATAAGAAACTTATTGATATATAATTAAAATTTAATAATATACATAATTTAATATATATAGTAAAATTCTTACATTAAAATTTAAATCAGCAAATTTTTTATATTCAAGGTTTTTTTTCAAAAATTTAAATAACTTGATAGTTGATTTTTATAAAAAAGATGTTTAGATCACATTAGCATTATTCTATATTTGTTGAAAAGTCGATGTCATTTTTTGCATTTCACGCATAATTGTTTCGAAAATTTTTTTCTGTAAATTACACCGATTAAATTGATCATTAGTCAAAGAAACAATGGCATGCCGTTTCTGTGATCTCTTCTCTGGTCAATGACTCTTTGGCATCACGGATCTTTACTCATCAAGGGTCGCAAAACTCGCAAACAGATGAACTCCCTATATATCGAATACCGATTGATGAAGAATTATTCGCGTGTTCCATAAATAGTAACCGGAAGTTCTCCCGATACGCACAAACCTCACCTTTGACGTGTGTGTATATCTGTGTGTCTCGCGTAGGTCAGCGAACTCGCTAAGTATCTCGATGGAATTCTATTATGTTTCTATGATTCATACGCAATAATTTGCTTACATAATTTTGTTTAAGGAAAATTTAATTATTCTCATTTATATGTAAGTTTATTAATAAAAAGTTTTTCACTTTCTATTTTTAAATTTACTTTCAATATATGTATATGCAATTTATTCTCCTGATAGCAATTCAATTCGTGCAATTCTAAGCTTCTAAATTTTTGTGAAAATGTCTTGTAATTTTATCGCAATTTTTCTATTTTCCTTTTTTTGACATCAGAAAAACTTTCACATCCAGTATATTAACGCCTTCCGAATTAATGTGGCTACATGCTAAAGTAAGCATTCTCGAGTACGTGCTGACATAAATATGCCCGATGCATCTTGATTTTACGATGATATAAACGCGATACAGACACTTTAACGGACAGAGACAGAAGAGATATACCTGAATAAATTTATGAATGTAATTTTCAAAACAATGTATCAGTGACATATATAAGAGAAAACTATAAATGATTGATGTCAATAACGTGTCAAAAAGCCATATTATATAAAGATATGGTAAATATATATTGAAAGAATATAATTTCTCTCTCTCAATTTTATACAAATAAAAAGTTGCAAAAATTTAATTAATTTGCAGGCGCGATCGATCCGAATCAGTCCGAATCAAGAGAGGGTCGAGGCATTCTTTGGAGCGGAGCAACGACTCGTGAGACTTGCTTAACATCCAAAGGCGAAGTCGGTCGATGCATGACCTTCAAAGAATGCTATCCGTACTTTAAAATTCCGGACCTTGGTGCCCTAGACGGATGGGTTCTTGGCGTTTATGACACATGCAGCTACATTCGAGAAGATGGAAATCCGAGCTTCGGAATTTGTTGCTCGAATCTACAACCTATCACACCTCGACCGCCATCCGATAACTGTGACGATTCCATCGTGGAACATCCCCAAGTAAAACAATTAAACGTATCGGTTAAATAATTCATTCTAACTCTCATTGTCAGTAAATTTTAATAATCAATACGCGCGTTTCTTGTTTATCCGCGTAATAATCACTTTCGCTACCGGAAACTTGTGACTCACTATATACGTGATCCGAATTAAAGTCCGTCATAAATCAGCCTATTAGAAAGTCGATTATCCCTATCACGATTCGGCAACAATTTCGCAAAGAACTGTTTTACGATTCGCTTTATTATTCGCTGTTCATGCATATTAATTTTCCTTTTGTTCGCCGCAAAAAAAATGTAATTAGAGTTTCGCTCTTTTTTTTTATGCATTATCATTGAAAAAAAATTTTTTTGCGTTGTTCATCAGATACTGAAATTATTTTAGATCGAGGATAATAAGAAAAAAGGCGATGATACGGGGTTGGCACGTCCTCAGGCTGTGCCCACTTGGCCACCACCGATTCCCACACATCCGCCCGATCACACAATACCGCCACTGCCAACCCATCCATCCTCACCTGGTCTATCGACGACGCAGTCCACGACCTTGAAACCGATAACTAGCTCAAAGAAACCGGGAGTTGCCACTACATGGCCGACGAAGAAGCCAACCTGGTGGCCAGCCTCATCAGGCACGTCGACTACCAGCAAATCTCCGATCGACACCAACAATCTATCACAGTGCGGTGCCAAGAATGGCAATCAAGATCAAGAACGTATTGTGGGAGGAAAGAATGCAGACCCAGGGGAATGGCCGTGGATCGCCGCGCTTTTCAATGCCGGCCGTCAATTTTGCGGCGGATCGCTCATCGACGACAAGCATATATTAACAGCAGCGCATTGTGTCGTAAAGTAAGTCCAATTTATCTTTTAATATTTTTAAAATTAAAAATAATCCCAATGTTTCGTTAATTAAAAAAAATTAATATATATCTAAAAAATTTTTTTTTATTAGCGTACGGAAAAAAATTAGCTAAGGACAGTTAAAATTTAACTATGATTAGCTAATTTTTTTTCGTGAATAATGAAAAAAACTTTTAGATATACATTTATAACTAATATTTTTTCGGTCTCGGTGACTAATATTTTTTAGCTATAGTTTAACAAAGAATTCTATATAGCTAAAAATATTGGCTATTATAGATACAATTTAGGTACACAGAGAGAATTTTCTCTTAGAATTTATCTTGAAAATTATAGTAATCGAGGGACAATATGGTAGTGGAAGAATTTTGTAAGAGATTCTCTGATTAAATATTTACCACAATAAAAAATATTAATATCTACTACAAGAGATATAAAAAATATATTCGATTAATTTTACTATGTACATAGTAAAATTTACTATATACATATTAATATTTTTTATTGTAGTAAATATTTTAACCAGAGAAACTCTTATAAAATTCTACCAATATTTATACATATTGTCCCACGATTACCATGATTTTAGTAAATTCTAAGAGAAAGTTCTCGCCATGTATAATAACTAAATTTCATTTGTAATATAGAGACAGTTAAAATTTAGCTATAGTAGCTATTTTCAATATATTACATGCAACAATTGCGATTAAACTGCATTATTACGAATAATATGGAAGTAATATCTGACTTTATAACGTGACAAACACGTTGTAATATTTCAGCATGAATTCTTGGGACGTCGCGAGATTAACAGTACGTCTCGGTGATCACAATATCAAAACGAACAATGAGATTCGTCACATTGAAAGACGTGTAAAGAGAGTCGTGAGACACCGAGGCTTCAATTCACGTACACTCTATAACGATGTGGCACTACTTACGTTAAGCGAACCTGTAGAATTCACGGAACAAATCCGACCTATCTGTCTTCCTAGCGGATCACAGTTATATCAAGGCAAAACGGCAACTGTTATAGGATGGGGTTCTTTGAGAGAAAGTAAGATTTTTTATACTAATATATATCTTTAACACACTAGCCTGTTTAACGAGTAATCGCATAAAAAAAAACAAATTTTGTTTTAATTTAGAATAATGAATATGAAATTAACATTTATGTACTCTATCAAGTATTCCCATTTATATTGTGCATTTTATGCAGTCAATATGCATAATTAATTATTGTTGACTAATTAATTATTGTATGACTGTTTATGATTGAAGTCTTTGAAAAGCATCTCTTTGTGTGAGAAGAATAGACGATATTTATATTCATTCAGGTGGACCACAACCAGCAATTTTACAAGAAGTTTCGATACCTGTGTGGTCCAACAGCGAATGCAAATTAAAATATGGAGCAGCAGCACCAGGTGGTATAGTCGACAGTTTCCTATGTGCTGGTCGCGCCGCTAAGGATTCGTGCTCAGTTTGTATCTCTTTTATTTCGCATCAATATACATTTAATATAGCGTCAAATATAGCTATATAATTTTCGATTTATACGAAGCCCGAATGCAATTAATTATTTCTTAATTAATTTTATTTAATTAAGTGAAATTAATGTTTTTAATGTTGTTTAAGATTATCAATTTTACAAGAACATTTGAAATATATTTACGATTAGATGGCTTTATTTTGCGATGCAAAATATAAGGACATTGATAAATATATTGCACGTTTCATTGTAAAAATTAATTAATGTTGCACTTACAGGGCGACAGTGGAGGTCCTTTGATGGTTAATGATGGACGCTGGACTCAGGTTGGAATTGTCAGTTGGGGAATTGGCTGCGGAAAAGGACAATATCCAGGGGTGTATACGAGAGTAACACATTTCATGGCGTGGATTGATAAAAATCGAAAATAGAAAATATACGCGTTATACGTATTTATCGCACAGTCTCTTTCGCACAGTCGCTGTTTCTTAGACAATGTTTTGTCGAAGAATTGATTCCACTCGCTTTGAGAAATGTGATAAAAAAAAAACTATCCTGCCCTAAATATAAAAATAGAGCTTTATAACGGTATTAAAATCTTTTTTAAGGAAGTTTGACATTATGTCATTTCCTTTCTAACTAATTAAAATAATCTTTGAGACAATTCTTCATATCATCGTAGTCTACGTACGTTTCCTCGTCATTAAAATAAACTATCCATTTACTATGTACGATACGATTAAAAAATCGTTGATTACAAAAATAGTAACAAAATATTTTGTATTTTATATATATATATATTGCTATACATACCAATATATAAAAAAATAAAGTTATACATAATAACAGTTTTAATACATTATATAGGCTTCCATTCCTGCCACGTCTGCATACGATATATCTACGTATCGCAATTACTTACATTCAATTGTTGCATAGTATTCCGCGCTGGAAATAGAAATTTTCCTATTAAGCCGGTGCCATCATGCAATAGCGAATAAATATCGTATTAAATTTTTTATCTTAAAATTATGCGTTTTTAATATTATATATATGTGGATATTACTTTCAAATATTGTAAAACAGCGACTGATACTAAACAGCAACGTATTCCACTTATCCTAACAGTGCTTTATGACTTGTTCAAATATCTCTAATCTAATGTTGATAACAAAAGTTATATTTTAAAAGTTAAAAATTCAAATCTTAGTCCATCAAAAAATCAAAAATCTTTAGTTCTGCGTATTAATCACGCGATATTATTTCTGAAAGAAGAGATATAATAAGATAAAATTTACCTTGAAAGTAGCATGTATCGTACTTATCGTCCGGCTGCGGGATGAACGGTGGCACTGCTTTTGACGGCTCATCCCAGGGAAACTCGCAGAAGAGAGCCATAGTGCGTACCTCCTTTGCCGAGGGTCGTACCGTTTGGTCCAAGGTAAGGAGCGCGTCGATAGCATCAGTTGCTGCCGATGACAAAGCCTCCTCGTCTTCTGGCCAGGGGACATCGCGCGCAAGGATGTTCGCGAAGACCGCTTGTGGCGTTTCATCATTGAATGGCGGCAGACCCGTGCAAAACTCATACAGGCACACGCCTAACGCCCACCAGTCGACAGCCGGTCCGTGACCTTGTCTGAGCAACAGTTCCGGAGCGAGATAATCCGGCGTACCGAGTATACGATCGTCTGATCTGTTGGTGCCAGCTTGACCGCCTCTTCGAACAGACTTGGGCGTTCTGTACGGCGTGTAACAATTATTCGAAGTCGCAGGTGTCTTGATGGGCGAGATACCCTGAGGCGAACGATGATCTCGGGATGTATTGGTCAGATCTGTATGTAAATCGTGCACGGAATGCAAAGCGGACGGCGGTGGTAGGCGAAATCTCGTCTTTATTAAAGTCCTCGCATCCTCCTCTTCTTCGTGCAACTTCTGCTGTTTCTCATCATCGCTACCTCTTCGTCTGGCAGAAGATACCGGCGTACTGAAGGCTACTCTACCCGTAGACCCGGTGTTCTGTTCGATATCTTGATTTGGTGTCCTGTTCCCATCGTTATTCGCCAAGTCGACGGCAATGTCTTCTGTTTTAGTGTATACTGAGGTATCATCGCTCATCGGACTATAAGAAAATACAGGATCGCGATTATTTCTCTTGGGTGTTTTGTCGACATCGAGATCTATCGCGTCGATCTCGCATGTTAAGCCAGTCGTTGCGCACGTACCGGGTCGCTTCCTCTTCGATCCCCGAATTCGATCTCTGAATGAATTTGTACAAGTGCTTACTGGACTGGTGGTATGTACAGGAGATCGCTGTTGTGACTTTTCGGCCTCGAGCGTAGACTCGTCCTCTTCCTCTTCTTCCATTATATCTGGATTGCTAGCCGGGACGGAGGATGCTTCGCAAGTGTAGTAACTGCTAGAACTATCCGGACCATCTTCGTGCTTTTTAATGGTGCCCTCGTCCTCTTCCGTGATATTATGTTCCTCGTTACTTTGTTCGAAATGTAGATCTTCCGCTGATTGGAAAGGTGTGACACCGGATATTCGAGAATAATCTCCGGATGCAACAGAAGAAATGACTGAATTTGGCGACATATGTCCCCCGAACTTAGTGCTATTTCTCTGCAGCGTGGAGAGCAAATTCATAGCTGGCGTGCTTCTATCACTGAGATTCGATTCGCTAGTGGACTTCTGGCCGGAACCGAAGGACAGATGAGACGTTAGCGAGAGCAGCTGACCAGGTGTCCTGGTACATAAACTGGGAGTCATCGGATTCACTAAATCCGATATCTCGAGATCCCTGTGCAACGACGATATCTTACTGAGTCCAAAATCCGTAAGTTTGACGTGTCCTTCGCGTGAGAGAAGCATATTGTCCGGCTTCAGATCCCTATGTACAATGCCGTGCGAGTGAAGATACTCCAATGCCAGGCATACTTCTGCGGTGTAAAATGCCGCCATGGACTCCTCCATGAAGCCGTAAACGCCGATCAAGCTCTTGAGATCGCCGCCTACCATATATTCCATGACTAGATAGACACTGCTGACAGATTGCAATGAATAAAAGAGTTGCACGCAGTATGGACTATGAGTCAGAGCCAGTGCGTTGCGTTCAATCACTACTTGTGATGCCATATTCTTATTTATCATCTCGTTCTTCTTCATTACTTTAATCGCGTACACTTGCTCGGAATTAGACTTTTTATATCCTAAAAACACTTTACCAAATGCTCCTCTGCTTATTGGCTTCACTATCTTAAAATCCTGTATATCTGGTACCTAGAAAAGAAAAGAAATAATCTAATAAATGACATAAAAGTATATTTCTATAAAAATTGTGACAAATTAATACAAATTGATTTATAACATAAAATATAATAAATAATTCTATAATTAATATAATAGCATGCTTCAATTTTATTATACAAATTAAAATTTATTGCTTACAACTTTGCTCCAATAACTCTTTGCAATTATACTATTATTTAAAAGTCCCAAGATTTATCTTATAGTCTATCAATATAAAGTATAATCAATAATTATATAATAATATAATAACATGCTTCAATTTAATTATACAAATTAAAATTTATCTGTTTTATTTCTTGCTTACAACTTTGCTTCAATAACTCTCTTTGCAATTATACTATTATTTAAAAGTCCAAAGATTAAATTTGAAAAGTTCATTCTTGGAAATGAAAAAAACAAAGAAAATTTACCTTCGTAGTGGGATTAACAATTTTGGAAATGGTATTGAAAATAGAATTGTCGATGTATTTCTCGGACTGTGTGTGTTGCGGTGTACGTTCTCCATTATGATGCTCCGTGTCATTATTATTCTTGCAGGATGTCTCGATGTCTGGTTCATTAACATGATTGTTCTCTGAACTTGATGAATCTCTCGGTGAGTCGGACGTCGTTTCTTCCATTAAAAAAAAATAAAGAAATTAAAAAAGAAAAGGAAGAATCCACGACGAAATGTAACCTCCAAATTGCCGGGAAAAAGCGAGCGAAATTCCAATGATAATTCCCGATCGATCTACTTGTGCCGCTTCATAAAATTCGTTTTCGTATTACGGAGTCGCTCGATTTTTAATCATGATTCCTCTTGCTTTTTATTTATTGCGCGTTCAAGGTAAAATTCGACAGCCGGTTGACATTTCTCAAAGTCAACATCGTACGCGCGCACACACAATGAGCGGCCAATTTCAGGGCAGTGATTGTCACGGTCGCCAACTTAAATCTAGAGACATGAAAAAATAGTTACTTTAGCATTCGTAGATTGGTTGTATGAATCTATTTGAATTCCGCTGCCAAATTCTGACTGTTATCTGTGGCTGTCTGTTTTGTGCCGCGAAACGATAATAGGTTAAGTGGAGATATTCTTTCGTTAGTGAATTATTTCTCACGTTTGTCACAATTTTTATCGCAATCTATTACGAGATCGCAATTACATCCCCAGTGATCTTACTCTTCCGTAAAATCTAAATTTCACTTGCAATGGCAGCGAAAATAGTGAAGAAAAGGGCACCGAAGAAAAAAGGCGGTTATTCTATGCCAGATCCGATATCAGCTGGAGAAATTCTTACAGATGTATGCAAGGGTCGGTGGATCCTTGGCAAGTCGATCGGTATCGGCGGTTTTGGAGAGGTTTATTCTGGTATTAAAAGAAATTATATTGTTATTACATTTGTTTGTCACAATTGTATTGTTGTACGCAACGTCGCTCATAATTTACTGTTGTGAATAAAATAGTAAAATATTTAAAGACATAAACGTAATTAAGTAAAAGAGACTGATAAATATCGCCTTTTTGCAAAAATTTTACATGATAAATTCTTTATGCACAGTTTGTAAAAAATATACTACGATCTGTACTTGATTTTGTTTTGTGTAATTATGTTTAACTCCTTGCGTTGGATTCTTTTATATGATATATTATTTATAGATTACAACATTGATTAATTTTTTATCTATTATATAATATTTTAATTATTGTGTAATTAACTCTTCAATAATATTGATTACAGCGGCACCTTATTCTGAAAAAACCCCCAAAGATTATCCTAATGTTATAAAAATTGTAAGTATACTTCATTTTTATACCATCTTTCCAGTTATTTAATTTTAATTTTATAATATTATTAATATTTTTTTTAATTGAATTTATAGGAACCACATGGAAATGGACCATTATTTGTAGAGATGCACTTTTATATGAGGAACTGTAAACCAGATGAGAGTAAGCTTCAAATTTAAAGGAACATTTTCTTTTTGATGTTTTTCATTATATGATTCATTTTCTTAAAATTTAAATCTTTGATAATGAAGAACATTTATCAGTTATGTAACAAAATATTTGAAAGATAAATATATATTGTCTTTTCAGTTGATAGTTGGCAGAAAAAAAAGAAACTTGCTGTACTTGGAATGCCTAGATATATTGCTTCTGGAAGTCACGAATATAAAAATACAAAATATCGATTTTTAGTAATAAATCGATTTGGAAAAGATTTATGGAAAATATTTGAGGAAAATAATAGACAGTTTCCAGAACACATAGTGTATAAACTAGCTTTGCAAATAGTAAGGCAATTTTAAAAAGAAATTTATTATTTGCAAGTTTTGATTTTCTGTTTTAATGATAACTTATATTGTTTTTCTTATAAATTCTAGATAGATATATTGGAGTATATCCATCACAAAAATTATGTGCATGCTGATATCAAAGGTGAAAATTTACTACTAGATTTAAATTCCTATGATCAAGTCTATTTAGTTGACTTTGGTTTAGCATCTCGCTCTACAACAAGTACTGAATTAAAAAAGGATCCGAAAAAGGCACATAATGGCACTTTACAATATACAAGTAGAGATGCCCATATGGGAGGTAAAAATTAGAAACTTTAAGAAAAAAATAATTTTGATATTTAATGCAATTTATATTCTTTAGCTTTGAATATAAATTGTATAAAAATTTTCATTAAATTTAAATATATACATTATATTTCTGTTTTTTATTCTTTCAGTACCAACATTTCGTGGTGATGTTGAAATCTTAAATTACAATATAATTCTGTGGTTATGTGGTTTATTACCATGGGAAAAATTAGTTGACCCAGCTACTGTTCAAAACGAAAAAGAAAAAGCTTTCAAAAACATAGACGATTTTCTGAAAAAGTGTTTTCGTGGATCAGTCCCACAGGCTATGCATAAATTTATGACTTTATTAGCTAGCGTTAAATTTAATGAAATGCCACCTTATGAAAAATTTAAAGAAATATTAATAGCTGGTTTGAAAAAATTAGACTATAAACCAGATGGGAAATTAAGATTAAATGCTATTGACACATCAAGTCAACAAAATCCTTCTAAATCTACGCCACAAAAAATTAAAAAACCTGTGAATGGAGTTAGAAAAAGTCCCCGTGCAAAACTTGCGGATACTGTAAATCCCATAAGAAATGCAAGAAAAAGTACTATAGGTGTTGTAATTGACAAAAAGCGTTGTAAAGTAAGAGAGATTGAGAAAGCATTAAATGATTTAATGGATTCTGATAGTGAATATGATATCCAAATTCTTAAGAAAGCGAAAAGGATAAAGTCCAGTAATAAAGTAAATAAAAATAAGGATGAAATAGATCCAGTACATAGTAAAATGGAAATTCAAAATAATTTCAAAGATGATTCTGAAGATGATTCTGTAATGGAGGTAATTATGACAATTTAAGAAAGTAGCATGTAGAATTTTACACAAAACTTTAATTTAATTTGATAATTTAATTAATATTTAAAATTTATTTTTGTCATAATAATTTATATTATTACAGCCCTTACCAAAACGCTCAAATAAAACGCGCCAGAAAAGACCTGCTCTAAGTAAAACAAAACGAAAGATTAAGAATTTGGATGACTCATCAACTGCTTCTGAGCCCGAGGTAATAAAAAATTTGATATTTAAATTATGATTTAAATAAAGTATAAAACAATTTATTTTTTTTACTTTTTAAACGACAATTACATAGATAATTAAACATAAATAAATATTTAATATATTTTTAATATATCTAGATTGTATCAAAAGGAACAAAATCAAGACCTGCTACTACTTTTAGGGATAAAGTAACTACTAAGAATAGATTGCAATCCAATAAAGCAGTATTGAAAATTGATACTGAAATTCAATCTGATGAGGATATGTTTGATACATAATTCACAACATTACAAATATAATGAAGTACTATATATCGTAATATTTATACTACAAAAATATCTGTAATTATGTATCTTACATCATTATATATTCTTGTACATTTCTCTTATGCATTTGACATTAATCACAACATTATTTACATGTTGATCATATTACAAGTATATTATTTCAGATTTCTTTTGTAAATGTGTGTGTGAATAACTTAAAAATATGAATACAGTTTAGATTATAAAATCTGTTATGAAAAATATAAAAATTTACTATTTTGATAAAATAAAATGTTAAATGCATATTTTTTATATTTCTATTAGTATTTCTGTCTATATAAATATGATAATGTTGAAGTAATTAGCGAGAGATAATTATCTAAATTTGTATTCACTAAATTATCATGGAAAACGTTCTGATTTTTTAACTATTTGTGTGAGTGAAAAATGCAAAAATTTTCTTCAAGATAAAAGTGGTTTTATTAACTAAAATAAATAATACTATACGTTAACTTTAAAGATTTATGTGTGTGGTATTTGTGGGTATTAGATATTGCACATATATGCAAAATATTTGAATACTTGTGATAATTATTATTAACAAAAAAGTAATATTAGAGTAAATACATAACAAACTTTCCATTTTTATAACTGCTATACATAACGCTCTCGCAAATTATTTTTCTTCAAAAAAGAGAAAAATTTAATTATTTCTAATCGTATGATTATACTGTAATTTTTTCAATCAATTAATATTTTCATGAAATATTGCTTCAATTAAATGTCAAAGGATCTATAATTAAAAGCGCAATTTCTAAAATATTTAGGAAAAAATTTTATATATTGCAATTGATTAAGGAATTCTCAATTACCTGAATTAAAATTAGCATTTTAAGTAATTATTTTTTTAATTTTTGAATTTGAGGAGCGCTTATTTTCACTTTTCCAGGTATGTTCCTAGCTATTACTTCATCTTTAATTGCTTTCAAAAGATCCTTTTCTCGTGAAGAAATTTCTTTGTCTCTCAGAAATACAGCCACAGCTGTTTTAGCGGCTTTACCTCTTTTTCCAATACCAGGTGTTAATTTTACTTTAAATCTGAAATTAATATCGTGATTATTATAAATGATAAATTATTTTTTTATCAATTTTTACACCAATAGTTATCTTACTTGTAATTTTGTAAGGTATTGTAAGGCGCAATTACAGGTACAGCAAACAATAATTCATCTTCTGAAAAAGGTTTTCCTGTTAATTGATCAAGCATGTCGACTTCAGGAACTGGACCTGTGTCTTCATCATCAATGTTATCTATGTTCAAAGGTTGCAATGGAACGTTTGGTTTTGGATTAGTTTTCTTTTTCCCTTGTTGTTTCGGACCTGATGGATCTTTATTTTTATTTTTTCTTTTGTCTTCTTTAGCTGCACCTGCCGACTGAGTACATGCAAAAATAAAGAAATAAAAATATATACAGATTAAGTTATATATAAATATATAACTATATATAAAGTTTATAATATAAATGTGTGACATAAAATTGAAAGAAAAAAATAGAACCTGTAAGACAAGCATTGAAAGTCGTCTATCTTCTTCATCTTGATCTTTATATTTCTCTTTCATTTTCTTTAATTTTCCTTTTTGTCCTCGTTTAAAGACGGGTTGTTCAACTTTTTTATTATCATGTACATTCTTGTCACTCTTGTCAATCTGTTCTATTTCTTCTTTCAAATGTTCTTTTTGTTTTGTTTTCGAATGTTTTTCCTTAGTTGATGTATTTATTATAACAGGCTTATCATCTCCTAAATAAACTACATTTTCTTCAATACTTTTTTGCACTTGTATTATAGGATGATTGTTATCAACGTGTAGTTTTACCCTGTTTTATATAAGAATATATATATATATGTGTCAATCAATTCTGATTTTAAAAAATTAAAAGTTTTAATTAGTTAAATATAAAATTTTAAATTAAAATTAATTTTAGATTGGACTTACTTTGGACCTGAAAGATCAATTTTAATTTGTGTATCGGGAAATTGATATTTTGTGTCATCGTCTTCTTCATCTTCTTCATTTTTTGCACATGATTCTGACTTCTCTGGTTCTTCTGTTAAATTCTCCTCTTGAATTGAATTTAACGTATTTTTATTTTCTAAATTTTCATCTAACAAAACAAAAATAACTTTATAATTAAATATTATATATTTCATTAAAATTTATAATTAAATATTAAACAATTTCTTCCATTATTTACCTTCATCCGAATCACCTTCTAATTCTATTTCCTTGTCATCTACGATTATCGAATCTGCTTTTTCGCTTTCCTCATCTACACTTTTAACTCTTCTCTCATCTTTATGTCGTTCTATTGAACTCTCTTCCAGACGAAACATGATACCCAATCCCATGATTAATTGACTTTGTGTAAGATAATTTTTCTTTCCACGTATCATGAATGATCCAGTAGTGAGATATTCTCCAGTAGGTGCACTCTTCGATACTTGATCATGATGCACCCACCATGCACTAGCTATTATTTTGGAATCCCAAGCTATACTATGAACAGAATATTAATCTCATATAATTACAGATATTATCACAATATAATGTAGACATAAAATAATATTTCCAAAAGTGCATATAAATTCACAGGTACATAAATTCAAAGATTATTGTAAAAGACTAACTTAATTCTCTGTATACCTGTATGCAACAGCCATTGTACCAGCCTCTGCTAACGATTTAGGTGGTACAGGATTGCCACTGGGATTTTTTATTACAACAGAGCTGGCACCAGTTAAATCTGCATGAACGTATAAATCTCCTGCCTTTAGATATCTTTTTACTATTAACTCATTTTGTTGCTGATCTCTTCCTCCAATCACTACATATATATTTATATAAATTATAAAATTAATAACATTTTAATTTAAATTTGTTAAAAAAAAAGATTACCTAAATAATTTTCAGATGTAATAACCAATAGAATTTTTCAAACCAATAAGTTTTCCTTAATTTATTAATTGTATGTATGGTTTGAACTTCTTTCAATGTTTGCTTCGTTTTTTTTTCTGCTGACTTTAAAGCTTTTCCATGGGATTCTATTGTCTTTTGATGCTTCCTAGCTGCTGCCTTTTTTTGACTATAATAATTTTTAGAATTACTAAATGCCGTATGGGCTAAATCTATATCAATGAGCATAGACTTGAGTTCAGATTCTTCATCACTGTCTTCATATGGATCATGTAATAGTAAAGTAATGTGATTTGTTTCCAGTTTTAATTGTTTTATAGCAGAAGCAACAGGATCACCTGCAGCCTGAGCCTCTTTCAATAGAACTTGAATATCTGGCCAAGACATCTGATTTGCCAAAGCACTTTGGATGGCTAGTATAGCATTATCCACTAAAACTTGATTCCTTGAAATCAATTCTGCCTTTTGCTTATCCACCTCCTGTGTCTTTTCTAATGTAACCAATCTCTGAGTGTGATCTTTCCTGACTCTCTCTAATTTTTGTAAAGCTTCTCTTTCTTGTTGTACAACTTTCAAATCTAGTTTTTGTCCTTCCATTGTGGAAAAATATTCGTCCACTGCAGCATCGAAAGAATCAAATTCTTTATATGGTTGATTCTTATACTGCTCAAACAAGAAAGGATGAAATTCAATATTAGCAAATATGAAATCTTCCTTGCCATCTTGAGTTAGTTTTGTTTCTTTTTTCTGAATAATATAGCCTTTTGAAATATGTTGTTTTGCATGATTCATGATATTATCTGCATCTTCAAGTGCTAGAATTAATTTTGGCGTATCATCAGTGACATTAAAATCTTTACCAATTTTACAACCAAGAGTAAATCCAGCTTTAAGTAAAACATGATCAATCACAGCTGAACCAAATTCTAATAGTGGATTCAATACTTTTTTAAGACTATTTCCTTCTTTAGCTTTCTGAATATGCTCTTGAATTATATTCATAGGTGGCATTGTTGCGGAATGTGCTCTGTCCATTGGATATTTCTCTTTCACAGCAAATCTAGATATATGATTTTGTCAATATTTTATGATTCTATATATATATATATACCTATAATCCAAAATGTGTATATATATATATACACATATTTTGGATTATAGGTATATATTAAACTTACCTAATCTTATCTCCTTCTGTATGAGGTCTTAAGACATATAAAATTACCATTTCATGATCAGTGAGGATTATATTACCACGATCATACACTTCTAACATTACATGATATGCAGCCTCGCCACTTCCAAATTGTAAATTTATTATTCGGTCCATTCCAACTTGAGTAAGACTCTCCAATCTTTTATTTTTAAGATGTTTCCGCATCTGAAAAAATATTTTAATTGCAAGATATATAATTATCATCATATGTGTTATTGAATAATTCAAAATTACTTTTATTTGCAAATACCTTCATAGAGAAACCTGAAGGGGCTACGTTTTTTGGCCACTCAAAATTTGTCGTATGCATTCTATTACCAGATTCAAGTAAAAGAACACATTTTTCTTCGCTACGTTGAAAGCGTATGAGATAAGTACGATGATCTATATCATATATTTGATTGACACGCATGCCAATAAGCCTAAAATTGTTAAATAAATGTAAAATAACTTACATATAATCTTTAAATTAGAAATATTTGTGTTATATTTTAGTATTTGAAACTTATATATTATATTAGTATGAAAACATTCATGTGTCAATTTTTATTTATTTAATAATTATAACTGTGTAATTAAAAATATATCAAGTATATAATATTTATTGAGATAAAATATAGGATATAATGTACAATTTTATATTTTTACAGATAAATTCTATATTTAAAAAATTAAATATATATGTATATTCTTGGTTATAATTTCTTATCATCCTATAAAATTCAAAAGCTTTTTATCTTTCACTTACTTTTGTAGTTCAGTAATTGAACATACAAGGTCGTAAGTGTTAAATCGTGTCTTCATTTTCAGGCAGATGTGATTAACCCTTGGAAAAATTTACTGAAAATTAATGACAGCTTACACACTAGTCTGCTACCATGCACAATATGACGTTATACGCACTAAAATATATTCACCTACACTAAGCAAAATATATATTACATCACCTTTAAACAAATCTTATCAAAATCTGTGCAAAAATTGTTATCGTATTATTAGCTAAAAACTTTTTATATTTTATTTGAATTATATATACCCTCCCTCTTTTCGCCATTAAAATAAATATAAATTTATTTGAAATATAGAAAATGTGTTAAAAAAACTGCAATATTGAAAAAAACTATTTTTATAAATAAAATTATCATTATAAAATAATTAGAAACAGATCTAAAATATATATATATATATATATATTCACAAATTTGACTAGTACTTTCATTCTAAAAAAAATATTGTTAAAATTATAATAGACAATTCTCAATATATTATATAAAATATAAAAAAACCAAATTGTTTCTTATAAAGATAGGATAAGAAATGTATTTCTCTTATACACATTAAGAACTTTGAGGACAGTACATAAAGAAAGAATATACAATATATAGATTTTAAGTTTTTTTTATTCAGTAATATGAATAAAGTGTAATGTAAAATTTGAGGACATTAACGATAAGACTTCTGGTATCGTGCTCTGGCACCTGGACCACCAAACTTCTTTGGCTCGCACCTCCTTGGGTCAGCAACAAGAAGAGTACGGTCATATTGGATAAGAATATCCTTTACTTCCTTTTTGCTAGCTTCATCAACATCTAAAGCACACAATTAAATTAGAATTTGATAAACTCTCAATAATTATGTAGTTACACAGTCAATATTAATATATATTTACACTTTTGATAGTATGCAACAAGAGCCTTGGAGATGGCTTGACGAATGGCATAGATCTGCGCAACATGACCACCACCATTTACACGTACCCTGATGTCGACTCCGGAAAACTTTTCCTGAAATACAAATCTATGTAAGTATCTTTTTCTAAAAATTGTTGCATTTTATTTGTACTTGTATGCAAAAGTTATTCTCAAATTCTGTTTTCCTATGAACCATGTTTAATAAATCAGAAAAATGTTAATATATCAATTTCGATTACAAGTGGAAGCAATACATTTATTTTTATAAGAATTTACATCTTCAATTTGTTTTTGCATTACGCTTATTGTTACTCACTTTGCCCAGCAATAGGATAGGTTCCTGCAATTTGTACTGCAAAACACGAGGTTCCACCAACTCCAGCGGTCGGCCGTTGACGCGGAGATTTCCACGACCTCGTTTGCAGTATGCAACTGCAGTCGCACTTTTCTGTCATGGACAAGAAGCCGGATTAGACACATTTTATGTAAGTACAGACACGCACAAATCTAACCTCAATTCTCATTGCTAAACCTTACCTTGCGTCCGAAGACTTGCACGGAATGGATCGGCTCCTTTTGTTTCTGAAAAGAACATTACAAGTTTTTTTTTTGCAATTAATGTTATTTTTTATAAAACAGTATCGCAATCGGAAATTATACTAAAAAATTACCTTTTGCATCTTGACGATCTAACAACACGTTGAGCGAACAGGAACAGAAAGGAAATCGAGCCTACGCCATGTGTTTTCATCGATATATAACTACGCTGCTCAAGCGAGGCATTGTTCCGTTACAAAAAAAAATTACTTTCGCTAAACGCAGCATTATTCTCATATTAACTTTTACCTCTAATTATATAAACGACTTTTTAATTAATTTTTAATTATAAAATATTTTTATTGTTAATTATTTACAATTACTTTTATAGAAATTAAAATAATATATATTTAAAATATATTATTTTTTAGAACAGTTTTTATGCAACAATATTATTTTTTCTAATTTTTATGTTAATTAAATCAATAATTGTTCCACAAAACTCTATTTACGTTTTAAATTTGACGCCTTTTATATCGAGACGCCATATTTGCAATATATCGATATCGCGCGCGTTCGAGATCAAGTATCGCAGCTGCATTCCCGCGTAAAGTCGCGTACCCGCGTGAAATGGCGTTGCTACGTATTCGTGGAGTTCTCGCGTTTTTGTTTGTATAAAATAAGTTTGTATAAATAAATTAATATCGGGAGGGTAAAATTAAATGTTATACGATCGCCACGATTTGCTAATTAAGCAATGATAAGCCTTATTCGTATAAATATGTTGTACTTCAACTTGCTGTGCTGCAGCTCCTAAAGTGCGGTTAAACATCTCAAGGTAAGATTCCGATTTCTGAACATTATTTTATAATTTGACAGTCGTTTTGCTCAATTTGACGACAAAAGAATATTCAAGATCGTTAATCTTATATGAGTTTAATACGAAATGTAATATATTTTATAAAGAGAAAGCAGCAATGAGCGAGAGAGACAGAGAGAGAGAGAGAGAGAGAGAGAGGGGAGGAGAAAAAGAGAGAGAACAAAATGTTGATAGGATGCAAACTAATTAACCAACGATTAAATACAATAATCAATCTTTCTTCTCTCTCTCTCTCTCTCTCTCTCTCTCTCTCTCTCTCTCTTTCTCTCTCTCTCTCTCATGACTTTATTTGTTATATATAATATCTACAATCAAAATACCATATTGTTTGGAAAATAATTTTCATATTAATAATTATATACAGTAATTTTATATAATAAAACTATGTTGCTCAAGCAAGACATCATTCTGTTATAAAAAAATTACTTTCTTTAGACGCAGCATTATTTTCATATTAACTTTTATCTCTAATTATATAAACGACTTTTTAATTATATTTTTTAAATATAAAAACACTTTTATTGATAATTATTTACATTATTTTTTATTCTTAATTGGTGCAATTTTCTTGGAAAGTAACATTATTACTTTCGTCGAAATTAAAACTAATTATATGAACGGCTTTTTAATTAATTTTTAATTATGAAAACATTTTTATTGTTAATTATTTACATTATTTTTTATTCTTTATTGTGTAATTTTTTGTGGCAGTAATAACATTACTTTCGTAGAAATTAAAATAATATATATTTAAAATATATTATTTTTTAGAACAGTTTTTTTGCAACAATATTATTTTTTCTAATTTTTATGTTAATTAAATCAATAATTGTTCCACAAAACTCTATTTACGTTTTAAATTTGACGCCTTTCATATCGAGACGCCATATTTGCAATATATCGATATCGCGCGAGTTCGAGATCAAGTATCGCAGCCGCATTCCCGCGTAAAGTGACGCCGCGTAAAGTCGCGTTCCCGCGTGAAATAGCGTTGCCATGTATTCGTGGAGTTCTCGCGTTTTTGTTTGTATAAAATAAGTTTGTACAAATAAATTAATATCGAGAGTGTAAAATTAAATGTTATACGATCGCCACAATTTGCTAATTAAGCAATGATAAGCCTTATTCGCATAAATATGTTGTGCTTCAACTTGCTGTGCTGCAGCTTCTGAAGTGCGGTTAAACATCTCAAGGTAAGATTCCGATTTCTGAACATTATTTTATAATTTGACAGTCGTTTTGCTCAATTTGACGACAAAAGAATATTCAAGATCGTTAATCTTATGTGAGTTTAATACGAGATGTAATATATTTTATAAAGAGAAAGCAGCAATGAGAGAGAGAGAGAGAGAGAGAGGGTGGGGACGAAGGGGAGGAGAAAAAGAGAGAGAACAAAATGTTGATAGGATGCAAATTAATTAATCATAAAATTAAATACAATAATGAATCTCTCTTTCTCTCTCATGACTTTATTTGTTATATATAATATCTACAATCAAAATACCATATTGTTTGGAAAATAATTTTTATATTAATTATATACAGTAATTTTATATAATAAAACTATGTTACTCAAGCAAGACATCATTCTGTTATAAAAAAATTACTTTCTTTAGACGCAGCATTATCATATTAACTTTTTACCTCTAATTATATATAAATGGTTTTTTAATTACTTTTTTTCTATTATAAAAAATACTTTTGTTGATAATTATTTACATTATTTGTTAATTGGCACAATTTTTGCTGAAATAATATTACTTTCATAGAAATTAAAATAATACTATTTTGTCGAACAGTGTTTTTGCAACAATATTATTTCTTATAAATTTGATTAGAATTAAATTAATCATTATTCTACAAAATTCTGTCTACAATTTAAATTTGATGCCTTTTATATCTACAAGACACAATCTCAAGGTAAGATTCCGATTTCTGAACATTATTTTATAATTTGACAGTCGTTTTGCTCAATTTGACGACAAAAGAATATTCAAGATCGTTAATCTTATGTGAGTTTAATACGAGATGTAATATATTTTATAAAGAGAAAGCAGCAATGAGAGAGAGAGAGAGAGAGGGTGAGGAGGAAGGGGAGGAGAAAAAGAGAAAGAACAAAATGTTGTGATAGGATGCAAATTAATTAACCATAAAATTAAATACAATAATGAATCTCTCTTTCTCTCTCATGACTTTATTTGTTATATATAATATCTACAATCAAAATACCATATTGTTTGGAAAATAATTTTCATATTAATAATTATATACAGTAATTTTATATAATAAAACTATGTTGCTCAAGCAAGACATCATTCTGTTATAAAAAAATTACTTTCTTTAGACGCAGCATTATTCTCATATTAACTTTTTACTTCTAATTATATATAAATGGTTTTTTAATTACTTTTTTTCTATTATAAAAAATACTTTTGTTGATAATTATTTACATTATTTGTTAATTGGCACAATTTTTGTTGAAATAATATTACTTTCATAGAAATTAAAATAATACTATTTTGTCGAACAGTGTTTTTGCAACAATATTATTTCTTATAAATTTGATTAGAATTAAATTAATCATTGTTCTACAAAATTCTGTCTACAATTTAAATTTGATGCCTTTTATATCTACAAGGCACAATCTCAAGGTAAGATTCCAATTTTTGAACATTATTTTATAATCTGACAGTCGTTTTGCTCAATCTGACGACAAAAGAATATTCAAGATCGTTAATCTTATGTGAGTTTAATACAAAATGTGATATATTTAAAGAGAAAACAACAATAAAAAAGTGAGAGATGGGATAAGGGAAAAAAGAGAGAACAAAATGTTGATATAGGATGCTAATTAACCAACAATTAAATACAATGAATCATGATTTTATTTGTTATATAATAATATCTACAATAAAAATACCATATCGTTTGAAAAACAATTTTCGTGTTACAATTATACAGTAATTTTATATAATAATATTTAGGTTTTCGTTCCAAATAAGATGTAGCGATGAACATACACCTCGCGCAGTTGGGAGTGAGAAAATACATTTTTTTGTTGCAAATTCCGCATTGTGGTTTCTTCACTCAGTGTGTATATGTGTGTGTGTTGTATGTATGTGTGCATCTTTTTTTCTCTTTTCGAGTATCAATTTCCTTTCCACACAAACACCCGAGATGACACCACGGGGATACCCGGTGTCGTATTAATATTCTTTTTTTTGTCTGCTTCTCTCTCATATTTTTTCTGTCTCATATCTTTTTTTATATATATTTTGAAAAAGGGAGAGTTTCGTCGGAGAGGTGCCGTCTCGAGTGTCTCGCCTGTGCCTCATGCACGCAATTTTTTTCTTTCTTTCTCTTAATATGTGCGGAGAGTGTGTTGTAGAAAGTGTTGGATTATAGAGCGATCCAACTTTTTTCACCGAGAATGTCGGCAATGGCGCGGATATAATATATCCCCCCGAATAGTCTCTAAAATTAACTACACTTAATAGTTAATAGTACCGTAATGTCATCTCAATATATATATCATTGTATTAGTTTTATCATAATATATAGAAAATACATATAACAATTATTTAAATGACTCACAATCAATCATTTTGCCATAACGCGCGTATACGACGAGCACGCGCACGCGGCGCTCGTGCGCGTATACGCGTCTATGTGCGCGCGTATGCGTATATATATATATATTTTTATCTATATATATATATATATATATATTTATATATTTATATATATTATCGGTGTGTTAATTACATGATATTTTTACACTCGTCGTACAGAGGGAGAAAAAGAATGGCGCGGAGGCTCGAGAGGATGGGTTTTAGGGGAAAGGAAAGGGATAGATCTCTCACACATTTACATTGTCTCTTTGCTCATACTAGCGCTAGTTTAAAAAGAAATTCATCGAAACCTAGTCGATATCTTACAAACATTTTGTCTACCTTGTACTGTAGTACGTATCCTTGCGTCTAGCGAACATTGTCTCGTCATACATGTGTTATATCTTCTGGCAGGCATTTTTTTGCCATATAGCCTCTATTTAATTAAATTTGTCCTCTTTCAATTTTCCATTCGATTTACCTGACTTTCGTTGAATTCGATGTATCATCCGCATTTTTTATAATCGCATATATTCACTCTTTTGCGACGTGTATGCCTTTTTAAAACTTGACATATGAAAAATCTATGTGTGCGCATATTGTTGTATGTGTATGTACTTGCACATATACGCGTGTCTATAAAGATCTATAAAGATATAGATATTGGAAGAGAGAGAGAGAAAGATTATATATTTGTGGTTTTTGGATATTATAATGTATGAATA